TTCAAAAAATATTATAGTGAAATATTTTGAATATACTTGCTTACACCCCTTAACAAATTTTTACACGCTCAATAAAAATTAATGTTATTATTAATGTACATTATACATAAAATATATTATAATATATTATACTTTTAATGATTTGTTTCAACAATACAATTAATATATTTGTTCAGCTTACGTGTAAATAATTATAGTGTATATAACTACATGGAACATAATCAGTTGCTCGGAATATTGCTATACATAAAGATAGGTGTTGTTCAAAGGGGAAAACGAGGGTACTGTCTAAAGGATTGGTGGGAGGAAGGTTACGAAGGGTAGCCGGAAGTGAACGAACAACTCGCGGTGTGCGCGAAACGACGTCCATTCAACAAGTAAAAGCCTACATTTGTGAACGGCGGCTACCAAACCTTTCACTAAGCCAACTCCACCGCCCATGTCATTTAATCGAATCATGACAGTATTTTTTAATGTAATTGAAATCTGCGCAAACACTAAAAGGACGATGTAAGTCTTGTGACTATACACTTGATAAACAATGACGTGGATGAAGTACAATAAAGTATGTAGGTCACGGCGTGAAGGACGAACACTTGGAAAAATAATATGTGGTCACAAAAGTCATCATATATCGTCCACCCGTGTGAAATTATACGACAAAATATACGAGAAAACCTTTTACCGAAAAAGGGTTTAATAATAATAGGACATCATCAACAATGGATACATAACAGTCTGGAAATTCGACAAACGACAAAAGATATACAAGATATAACATAGAAAACAGGCCTCGGTTTAATGAATGCCTCGTGCTCCCCGGACCAGGAAGCTGGGTTATCAATGACGTCATACGCTGTCGGCCGTTACCACGGGAACCGGTCGGTATGACGTCATTGCCGTGCCCCAGTTTTACATGTCGGGTAAACGCGCGTTTGACCCCAAACCGCCATCTCATCATCGTCTTGCACCGGGTAAGACTGGGGAGAACGGTAACGGCGTTGGCCGGAACGGATGACTGATGATTGCATGAACCCAAGTGAGTGGTGTTGGGGAGTTTGGGGTACCAGTAGTTGAACGGTAAGGGACGTCATACATTTTTATTTTATTTCCAGCTCTGGCCCGTCAAGATATCATTCAAGTTTGAATGCGCCGTTTAGGATTTTCCATAATAATCTATACCTTTGTGGATGCAAGTATACATGCACAGGATAAATTTTGGGTGTGCCGAAAAATTATCCTTTGCCAGGATTTCTATTTTTTCCTTTGGCCTTTATATGTAAATTTACTATTGTTATTCAAACAAACCGATTTATTTTCATTTTGATTTGTCAAATGCAGTACATAAATAAATAATTATTATTACTAATATTTTTTGGACAATAATATTGTAATAATATATAATATTCTGGGGAATCAAAACCAATTAAAAAAATTAATTACTAATTATTTTTGTAACAATTTTTACAAGATCCGTCCAGAAATACAAAATAACAATTTACTTAAAATAAATTTTACTGCAAAAATGTTATATATAAATTTTACATTTTTTTTTTTTTGATACTTATATGTTTGTTGTACACTATATGTACTTTTTAGGTCGTATTTAATGGTTATGCCGCCAAGGATTTTAAATTCTGTCTCTCTATAAAAAATATTAAAGATCCATATTTTTATTTTTGCTTTCTGTTTTTTAAAAACGACGTACAAAAAAAATGTTTCTATTTGTATGCTAATGTTTTTCCCCGCTTATACTATTTCTCAATTCTAATATAGAAATCTCAATTTATTTACTTAAATATAATCAGGGCCGGTTCTAGAGGTCTGCGAAGTATGCCCAAACGGAACCTCCATTTTACAATGTCCGGCTAACTTAGTTGATAATATAAAAAAAAGTTCTTTTCCGCTAAAAAAAATATTAAGAACTTCGTAAAAGGCCTTGCAATTTCTACCACCGGATATGATTATTATGATCAAATATCATTTAGGTGACTTATTTATCAAATGAGAATTACGTTTTTATTAAAGTCGAAGTTTTGACTTTTGTACCTAATCGTCTTTTAATAACAACTATGGAAGTTAGTGTCAAATTATTTTGAAACAGCTGATGTTGTATAAGAAAATCGCACCACAGTGTGTAAACACAGCGAACACGCACATACATGGCCGCTGTCAAACAAAAAGTAAAAACTTTACTACTGGCTATTGTTTACGCTGAAACTCAATTCAAATAGTGTAATAATCAAAAAGTTTTACAAAAAATGTGTGTACTGCACGTAGTACACAGGCGACGCGTTAAAACGGCGATTTACTTTGGCTTTAACAGATTTAATAACCGGTAGCGATTGAGCACTTATCCACACGAACCGACGGTTTCATTGTCCCATTAAAAGTCACGCACAATTCAAACAGGGCGATAAAGGTCGGGGTGAATGGCGAACCGTCTGAAATGGAGTCTTTAAATATACCGTAATTATCGCGTATACACGAAAAATCTGCTTTTAATAAAATTAACTTTCATAATGTAAAGTCAATATGTTCTTTAAACATTTATTATTTTTAGATATTTGATCATTTAATAATTTATTTAAAACTAAACGACGAATGTCTTAAAATAAAGTAATGATTTTAGACAAAATACTTTAATATGAACTCGTACAACTTTTAAGTATCGACAAAATGGTATCACTGCAGCTACTCTGTTTGAAATTATGAAAAAGAATATATGTATAATGTCTCCACTCCCTCTTCATTTAAGTTATAATATTTTATTATTTCTATAAATATTCTCAGAGATAAACACTATTCTCTAATATTAATCTATGTGTTGAATATTTAGAAACATTTTAATATAATCTAAAATCTATTTGTCAAAATTGATATTTTGACAAAGCTGGTTAAATACCAATTGGCAAATATTATCAATATTAATATCCTTTACTATACTTTATTTTTTAATAAGTTACTGATTTTAATAAAATCATTCATACATTTTTAATGTTTATGTTCTTTTTGGTTAATGTTATTTATATAATGTATCATCTACAAAGTAATTTTTCACTGATAGCTATTTAACCTCTAAATAGTCAAAAATGAGATAACAATTTAAATATCAGATAGTTTTTTTATGAGTGAAAATTATCTAAAAATTCATATTGAAATTTGCCCATCACTGATACTTGTTCTAAGTTCCATCACATAGTCTAAATGTCTTGCACATTTATATGAAAAATAAAGATTTTAATTTTAAATTAAATTTTATATTAAATTAATAATGATTATCTAAACATTTTTCATTTTATTTTGACACGTAGAACGTTTCAATTTTTAAATGAAGGAAATATATTTATTTTACGTCCAAAATTCTAATTTAATTTGTTTAATCTAATCAAAATCAATTTTCTGTCATATAAATTAAAATATTTTTAATTATAACATGTATTACACCATTTAACAAGATCTGTCCTTCAAAACTATCAATAACAAAGTTTAATTTTTAGGTATATTTAAACAACAAATATAATGACTAAACCTAGACTGTAAATACATAATAAATCTTGAATATTTATTTAATTAATAATTTTTACTGATTTTTTTTTTATATTATAAAGTTGTTTGCACATAGAACGTCATATTTGTATTTATACATTTTTTTTATTGATATATACAATCTGAAATATTAATCCGTGGTGTTCCGGTAAAAAAAGATAATTGTAAAAATGCAACTTTTGGAAAACTGAATTTGAAACTTACAGTTTACATTTAATATTATAATTTATATGCAAAACAAAAATTATGTTTTATACAAATTTCAAAATCATTTACTCAAAAGTTGCAATTTTACACTTTTCTTTTGCTCCGAACAACATAGAATTAGTATATGTGCTAAAAGTAAATATGACATGAACATTTGAAAGAAGATAGCCAGATTGCTACCCAATTGTACAACTTCTAGTTAAGAGTCAATAAATATATAAAATGACTTTTGATAAGTTGACTATTATTTAAAAAAATGTAGGACCGGAGTGTAGCAAAATTGCCTATTTGTAGCGCCCGATTACTAGAAAATCAGAAACAAATGAATTTGATATAGATTCATAGAATATACTTATAAATCTACCAAAAAGATAAATTTTTTAATTAAAAAAAAAAAAAATACAAGAGTGACGTATGAGGAGTAGACAAGAGAATTAAGAAGAAATTTTAAACTCTGCAAACGAACGATACTAGTAAAAATGCTAGTATAAGTTATATATAAATTTGTGAACATTTTCATAAATAAAATTATTGAAGTTATTTTTAAACTATAGGTGGAACTGAATTTTAATCGTAGTTTCAAAAGCAATAAAAAATTCATATTTATCCGAAAACGGGTAGTATAATATACTGTATCTAATACTGATATCTTTGAAGAATCATGTAGATTTATGTTGTATTATTTGGGTTGTCCAGTTGCAAAAGGATTTTTGTTAAAAAAAAAAATGTTTTGTAATTTTGCTTTTTTTAGATGAACTGACTTAAAACTAGTAAGTTATTACTAGCTAATATACATTTTTCTACCCGGTAAACTATTAAGGTTGTAGTACTTGAAATATAAATAAATTTTGTATTATTATTTACTACAGAAAGTTTAAATTATGTTAACAAAGTACATGTTTTTAACTTTTGTATATTATTTTGGTTTATATTTATGAGTTGTCAAAAAGGCAATGGAGTCATTCAAAAGTAAATTTAACATAATGCATTTCGCCACGGTGTTTTGAGTCAGTATGTGGTACGCCGTATATTTCTTGCCAGAACGACGCCAGTCCACCCGGTTGGCATTGTGCCATGGATGAAGTACGTTTTGTAATATTAATTTCGCTTCGATATCGTCTTAGTGGAACTTAAAAAAACCAGAATGGAAAGCAAACGCGCGAGTCTTTCCAGTGCGATCGTTAGTAAGTGAAGACCTGCCGTCAACTAATAATTGTACACAAACTAAGAACAAAATCACTTACCGGAAACCTGTTGGACTGTATTATGTAAACTGAACGCGTTCAAAGTTTTGTGGAAAGAAACGGGTGTTGCAAAGCTCGTGATCTCCACAGCCGACACACTATTCGATGACCGTAGACGTTTTATATGTGCGAGTAAGCGAAGAGCAGCCGTCGTTTAGGCCAAGCTCCTCTGTAGGCCCGTGATGTTGACGGGCGCGTGAATAAAGTGCACTGCTTATAGTAAATAGCTATTTTGTTCAGCGAACTGCAGTCAAGATTATTATAAACAAAATAATATCGCTGAAAAAAGTAATCAAAGGTAGTTATTGGGCGTGAGGTATGAGAAAACCGGCGTGGTGCGATGAGAAACGTAAGCAGGACGCAGGCATCAGGCGCGGACGACAATCAGCACATAAACACACACTCGCGAGGAGAACGCGCGCAGACAGACGCAGAGCCGCCCGGTCCGACGAAGGATACGCCCGCTGCTAGTACACACGTCCACGGCTACTATATCTTACTATGTATGGTGTATACACATCCGATCGATATGGCCGACCGAAGCGCTACTCGTGATTTCGCGATCTCCTTGCACGTTAAAATCTACATCTAAATAATATTGAAATTCTATGGCTTTTTTCAATTTTTTCTTTTTGAGATCTTTGAACACAAAGATGTAACCAAAATTTTATAATTGGGAATGGACATAGTAAAAATCTACAAAATTCTATATTTTGCTCATTGCTTCGTTTTGAAAATAAATATTGCTGTCAATGGGGAAGGTCCATGGGTCTTTTCTTAGGGTCCGTTACAAAACCGAAGCTCGAGACCCCGAATATGTATAATCCGAGCCTCATAAGTATTTAAAATTATAACCTTATACAGATCAATACTTACATCTATTTAGCTAAATGTTAACAAAAATATATTATTCCTCATATGTGTTAAACACATTATTAAATATTTACTTTTTTTTTTCATTAATTTAAAAATTATCACCAATGTAATATGAAAAAATTAAATATAAATATTCAGTTACAAATATGTATATATATACAGCATTTCTAAAGTGTTAATGTTCGTCAAAAATCTTATTCAAAAATGCATTTGAGTACTTTTAGTTATTTTTATTAAAAATACTTATTTGTATTGAAGTTGTACATAAGTATTAATAATGTACATGATCCCGCTTCCCTTCGTAAAAAATGTACTCATTTAAAATCATCTCAATGTAACTATTCTCAATTTTTAATCATTCATCACTTAATTGAAATTCATAGGAATTATTTACAATTAATCAAAATAATGGGCCAGTATTAAGAAAAAAAAATATTGATAATTAATAAAACAAATATATTACAGAAATTTAATCTTCTGTAATATATTTGAGGTTTTGTAAAGTAAAAATATCATAACTATTAAAGTTTTTAAGAAACAATTAATTACACAGAGATAAAATGAATAAATAAAAACTATTAAAAATAAACTATTGTCTCATGTATTTTATAAACATAGTTGTCTATTCAATGAAGAAGAAAATAAAGTACAACAATTATGAAACACATGTTTCTATTTTTAATTGTATGTCATAAATTAATCTATTAACAGATGGATATACATAACAACAGAATTAACTTAATTATTGGCTGTAACTTACAATGTTACATACTATTCATTACAAAAATCTATTATAGATACAAATAAATTTCATGACATAAGTTGTACACATTTCTTATGATCATTGTAACTTTTAATGTGTAAAGAAGAAAGAAGTAAGTAAAATAAATCACAGATCTTAATATTAATATTTTCTAATAATAGCAATTAGTAATCCTTAAAATAATTTGTCTCTCTAATGCAGTCATTATTACGTAATGAATAATTAATCAAACGTAAGCTTAAAATAAGAAATCATAAAAAAATAATTATCATTTTACATAATTAACTAAAAAATATACAAATAAATCGAAATTGATACTATAATAATTATGTAACAGGAAAAAATATCCAATATTCGGTAACTTAAAGTGTTAATTTTAATAACATCTTTACCATTTCATTGAATATAAAAAAATTAAATAAACATATAAAAATCTACTGGAAAAAAAACAGAAAAATCTGTTTCTTCTTAAATAATAATATTAAAATTATTGGCAACTATGAAAATGTATTCATAACTAATAATGGGTGGGAAAGAAAACAAAATAAATTAAAATAGTTTTTGGCACTTGTAAAATAAAACATGATCATTTTTGTTCATTTTACATAATATAGATAACATTGATGTCACAACAGCAAGAATTATTTACTAAATTATATTTAGAGGTTATCATTATTGAGCATCATTGTTGTTTTTTACAATGGTTTCTTCGTAAAAGTATAAATGATCTATTAAATAATCAACAATACTAAGATGACTAAATATTCAGTTATGTACACTTCATCATCAAACATAATTTTTGTTGACTTATATAGTAAATAATTGCTATTCAGTCATTCTTAATTTTTTTAAATTCTATTAATCAAATAATTTTACTGCAATCAACCTTTAAGTAAAATTATAATTACTAATTAAAATATTTAATAAGCATTTTCTTGGAAAAAATTCTACATTTTTTGTGAATCATAAGTGTTTTTAGTAAATAAAAGAATAGCAAAAATTTCATTAAAAATAAATTAAATTATGTAAATAATGAAGTACAAAATTAATTTAATAATGTATAACTTAGTTTACTACATCTTGCAATCTTAAAATTTCCTATAACTTGTGATTAGAGATTTGATAAAATATAAATTTAATTAATATCTTTAGAAAGTTGGTATTATGATATTGATAATTACAATATTTTTTATTTTTAAATTGAAATAATATAGTTCTCAAAGTAAAAAATAAATTTTACATTTAACAGTTTTTCATTAAAGATCAGAATATGAGTACAAAAAATTTCAACCAATTAAAAAGCATAGAACATACTAACATTGTATGGATAAAAATTGATTTTATAACTTAATAATTCATTAATATTCAATTCAATAAAAATAAAATTCAAGTAGTAAAATTTATTACATTAGAAGACAGTAATAATTGTATATTTTGTTTTATTAAGATCTTTTTCACAAAAAAATATAATAAACCAATGTATCACAATTTTAAAAGGCAGTAACTAGTAATATTTATCATTTAAATCATTATATTTAAAACACTTAATATAATAATTATGAATTTGTTAGATTGCAAAATAAATAAATAAGTTAATATTTTCAATGAAGTGTTGCCAAATAGATTAAGAAATCTAGTATCTTACACTTTTAACAAAGTGAGATAATAATAATGAAAAAATGAAAATTTAATAAATAACATAAACATCAGATTAAACAAAAATATTGTTATAAATTCTAAAAAGAAGTATACGATGTATCAAAATTATTATATTTTTTTTTCAGAAAATAAATAAATATATATTAAACCAAAGTCTAATTTAAAATATAAAGATTGCAGCATTAAAGACAGATGTAACTAAGAAGTATAAGAAGTTAGTGACTTGACAATTGTTTTTCTTCAAAAGATCTAATTTTATAACTTAAGACTCATAATTATCAAAACATTTGTTCTAAATTTGCACTATAAAACAATTTATGAACGACAAAATTTATCAGCCAGTTGCCACTTACTGTCATCAATAATATGTAATTGATTAAAATAAAGCCAATAATAGTTAAGTGTAAATTGATAACTTTTTCACCAAATTTAAGTTTACTTTTAAAAATAATACATATGAGTCATAACCAACATTTTTTTTTGAGTTATTAGATTGCATTTAAACTTACACATCTTTCCTTTGTAGTATCACTAACAACAAAGAGCATAATACTGAATGATATACAATAACACTAAATATTTTAATAACTAATAAACATGAGAGGACACTTTTTTAATCTTAAGTATAACAGTCCCAAATATTCATAACTCTCCTTAACCAAATATAAAAAATGTGATGCAAACAATCAAGTTTTTGATTTTTATTCTTTTTTTGTTACTTGAGGTCAGCGTCAAAATCTAATACAAATAATTTGGTTTCTTCAGTACCATTTCGACTGCCTACTGCACACACGAGTTTGGTTTCATTTGCTCTAATACGCCATACAACTCCACCACTTCCACCACTTTCTAGGGCTATTAAATTTCTAATAAATTCACCTATACAATAAAATATAAAAATCTATGTATTTGTTTCTCTTTCATGTATATAAAATTCATTTTGATACATAATTAGATACTTTAAACAAAAAAAATTTAATTACCAGTTTTGACATCCCATAATTTTACTGTTCCGTCATCTGACGATGTTATCACAAATCTTGAATTAAATTGGAGGCACGTAACGGCAGAATTGTGTTTATTTGGACCTGTATAAAAATTTAAAATATTATATAAACAATTAAATCCACCTGTACATTGTTACATATTTAATATTTTCTTCTTTATATATATATATATATTACCTGATAAAGTTTGTAAACATTGTCCGGAAATTATATCCCATACTTTTACAGTAGAGTCTGCATTTCCAGAGACTAAAATATTGTCTCTTAATTCCATACCAGAAGTTAATGATTGATGCCCCATTAAAGTATGCTTACAAGTACCAGTCTCAACATCCCATACTCTAATACTAGTATCTAATGATCCACTTACAACATGAGTACTATCAAACTAAAACAGATATTATAACGTACATTTTATAATAATTTATAAAAAAAATTATTTACAAAACTACAATTACAACCATTTTTCTATTATAATTACTTTATGTTTTTATTTGATATTACATTATAATATCAGGACTTTATTATGTTTAAAAATATATATGTTGTCAGACTTAGATTTAAGTATTTTAATATAATTTTTTAACATTAACACATAATAAGTCTTGTGATCACTTTTCTATTTAAATTGTGAAACATTCAAAAATAGCTAATAATTAAAATTTATTATCATGTAGTAATTTTTAAATAATAAATTTTCAATTACCCTTTATATTTACTAAAAATAGGGTTCATCAACAATAATATTGCCTAATTTTTTTACCTATTTATAATATTTATTTCTCATTTGATATATTCCAAATATGTATAATTTAACAAGATTTCTAGTTAGTTGAAGTATATTTCAGTATTAAAGCAATTATAGTTATACAATAATCTATTTTACTGTTGTAAAATATGAAATAATATGAAGAAATAAGACAAATATGAGGGTTAGTGCAAAATTGGTAAAAGTCAATTTTTGGGTAAAATGAGTTAGATCTGAAAATAAAAACTTTATTTTTATACCTAGATAAGAGGAAAATGAGACCAAGTCTAGTGATAAAAATAGCAGCACCCATTCCTCACCATCAATCATTATATCATATTATTAACAACTTCTAAAATACTAGTCCAAAAGCATTTTTCGACCAGTCATTTTATTAATTATAATATTTTCTACTTTATAAAATGTTAAACATTAACATGAATTTTTTCATTAAAAATAAAAAAGTTGATATCCTTATAACGCATAAGAGATAAACCAAAAAAATACTTAATAATTTCTCAAAATTAATATTATTTTAAGAGTAATTGAGTGGTTTATGATTCACGGATCAACCTATAGATGAATGTTCCTTTTTTAAGTTAATAATATTAATTGTAAAACTTATAATACTAGTAAATAATAAAATTAAAACATATTTGTTTAAAAATTTTAGCAAGACATATATTTAATAGGCATACTTAATAGATAATAAAACGACAAATAAAATTGTTGATATATTTGATCTTGACAATGAAAAAAATATATACTTTTTTGATATTTAAAATATTCTACATACAATTTGAATATATTCAGCACAATTTTTTTTTTATATCACAATAAATATTGTATAAAATTAGACAATATTAATTTTCAGAAAAATATCTACTTAATGAATATAAAAGTTTCAACTAAGGAACTTTGAGTTTATAGAAGTTATAGTTTATAATTAGATATCTATGTTTCTAAAGAATGATGGTATAACTACATTTGTTTAGAATGATTAACACATAAAATAAACATAAAAGAGAAAATTTTAATTAAATTTGTTCACGCCCTTTGGAATATATAATAAAACAATAAAACATAAATATTAAGATGAACATTATTAAAAAAAAGCAATAAAAAACAATCAACTTTTCTTACTTGTAATGAATATACACGATTTGTATGACCAGATAGTGTATGCAAACAAGTTTCACTATCTACATCCCACACTTTGACTAAATAGTCGTAAGCACCACTAACTATTAGTCGGCCATCATATTGAACACAGCGTACTGCGGCTAAATGACCAAGAAATATAGATAAACATTCACCAGTCTTAACATCCCAAAGACGTAATGAAGCATCTCTAGAACCACTTACAACTCTGTAAATGATTAAAAATATTACTTAGTATGCACAATTAAAATATTATTCTAAATTTGACCATATCATATTTGAGATTTATGTAAATTTTTTAATACATATAGAAAATCTATCATAAAAAAACTATTTATATATTTTTTAATTAAGATATAACTTCTTGATTAAACTCATACATCAATAAAACTTGAAAATTAAGAAATTTTTAGTATAATTAATTTTTTTACAACTACATGAGTGATTTTTAACTTTTTAATAATTAGCACAAAAATATTTTTAATTAAAAAAAAAAAAGTATTGATAAAATATTTCTAGTTTTTTAGCTATTATAAGAAAAATTAAGTTAATCTATCTAATATATTTGACAATTTCAATATTAATTAATACTCTCATACTTGTTTTCATGTAAATGCATACAGCGGACAGTTGAAGTATGTCCATATAAGGTATGTATACATTGGCCAGTTTCAGCATTCCATACTTTTAGGGTTCGATCTGTAGAACCGCTTATAATTATATTGCCAGCCATTTGAGAAGACCATACTCCTCCAGTATGACCAGTTAAAACTTTTAAGCACTGAAAAAAACATTTCCATATACATAATATATTAATATAAAATTAGTTAATAATTAAGGATATGTAAACTATGTAAATAATATATGATTTTTGAATAGTAAGTAATAAGTATAAATGAAATAATAAACAAACTGATAGGTTGTTTATTCCATTAGATGTTGCCATGTCCGGCATTTTTAAAATTATGAATCTACTTATATATATGTTTATAATGCATTTTATAAGTTTTTGAATATGCTAAGCAAGTCTGTAAGAATGGTGTTACTTTCTTCATATTGATTATTTTTGTTTATATTTCTGTAACTTTAAGAATCGTATATACCTCTGATGTGTATTTTATTAAGTGGTTATTGTTAACAATAGCCAATTCTACATTACTATCTATTTGCATCAATGTAAGAGAGTTTCTAATAGTTATGTTATTATAGTATATACATTAGTATATGTATTTTAACATGTTTAATCTTTTAATAATAGCAAACTAAAAAAGCTAATAAACCTAGATTAAATTTAACTTAAAAAAATCTAAAAGACTCTGTAATTAACCAATATTTTAATTGCTCAAAATACATTTAAATAACTATAGTTAATAAAGAAACTATCCAATTTGGAAAAGTAAAGAATTTTGAAATTAAAAGTAATACCAACAGTGTTCAGTCATTGGGCTCTAATCAATTTAACATATTAATCACCCTGTTTTTTATTTATGTCATTCAAATTTTAAAATTATATAAATTTTTTAAATATTAACAAATATTGAACTGATATATGATTAACACTTACTTTCCCCGATGACACTGACCATACTTTAAGTGTATTGTCATCAGATCCACTTACAACTCTGTTACCACAAAATTGTAGGCATGTAATAACATGGTCATCATGTCCTTTAAGTATTATTGGCATTTTAATTGGTTTGACCCTCCAGTTCATTTCAATTGAATGTTGTCTCATGTATGAAGCCTAATTAAAAATAATAATAATGAAATTTTAAATAAATTAAATATTAATATTTAATAATATCTGTATGGTTGATCAAGTTATAATGACATTCAATATAAAAATTAAGAAGATACATAAACTAGTACAAAGTTGTGTATCTGATGATGACAATTTTTAAAAACGGTTGTATAATAAAATTTTTCATAATGTTCATGAATTTTATGTATTATTTATCTAGTTTAATGTATAATAATATAATACATTAATCTTCTAAAAGAGTATTAAATATTTTCATATTTTTTGTTATAAAAATTAATCAAATATTGTTGATAAAAAGGATATAAGTAATTGAAAATTATATTTATTAAATTATGTAAACATTATTTATCTATATTAAAATTATATTTTTAGTGTACTATTGATAAAGGTATTACACTTTTATGTGTAAAAAATGTTATATCACTCTTAATATAGATTTTTTTTCTTTTTATGATGAAAAATATAATATATAACAAATAAAATCTTATAAAGTTTACATAGTAAATTTTCTTGTTTAATATAAGCTTGTTTCTTTTCCTTTTTTACTGTTATTTTATTTAAATAATAAATTTGTACATAAGAAATCATTAAAATATTCCTTACTTTCCAAGGTGATGTAATTGCATAACGACTTCTAGAACGTTTGTTTACTGGTGGTTCCATCAATGTAATACCAGCTTTTAGGCATTTTTCTCGCCATAATAAATTATCTTCAGATAAAAATCGCCAACTTCGACAAGTTTGGGCAGCTTTTAATAGATCTTTAGGTTCCAAGAATGACAAAACATATAACGCTAACTAAAGTCATTGATAAATCAATTAATATAAAAAATTAAAATAAATTTTCATAGTAAAGAAAAATAGTACACACTTCTTTAGGAAGTAAAGAAATGAAATCCCTTTGAAATTGTGGCTCAATCAATTGTAACATGTGTCGCACTTGAGTAGGTTCACATTCATCAACTAACATGTCTATAGCTAACATTCTTTCAGCATTCGACCATCTCTATAAAAAGAAGGAAATCAATTAAAACAACAAACAAATAAAAATATATATAGTTTTAACTAACTGAAAATGTTTTTAACCAATCCATCATTTCTTCGGGAGGATCATCTTTGGACGGAATACAACTACGGCGTACTTTTACCTTGTCATTAGGTAGTTCATTTTCTACCATTTTTGGTGTCAGTCTAATTAATATAAAATTTTAATTTAATAGAATTAAAATTTAAATCATAAGCATTATATTTATTTAAAATATATATAAAATAAATTAAAATTTTAAAAACAAAAAAAACAGTTCATTAAGTATTAGAAATTATAGTATTTTTGGTGCCACTTTTTATTGGTATTTCGATTTTAAAATTGATACACCAAAAATTAGTATTAACTTGAAAAATAGTTCATTACTATAGCTGGGTAATTTCATTTATTTATTCAAACTTACCTTTCAAGTGTACAATTATTTTGATCATAATATTGCTTTTTGGACGGAAAATCTTCAGATGCCAAAGTAGAACTTGATATTTTTCTTTTTCTCTATTTAAAAAAAGCATGAATTAATAACAAAATAATTTCAAATATAGTTAATTGTTTTAGTATTTGTTGTTAAAGAGATAAGCAAAAACTGCCCATGTACTCAAACCAGTAAATCCATTGTGTATACATCATATCAAATTATAGTAATTCAGTTTCATCATATAAGTGTNAACTTTGTTTTTTTAAATGGAAACACATATTTTTAATTTAATAAAATTTTTGAGTTTTTAATTTAATAGTAAATGGCATTTGAATTTTTAATATAACTTTATTCATTTATTAGATATAAATATTTAAAGTTTCAAATTATTAAGTTAATATACATGTATAATACACAAGGTATTACAAATACAGGTAGCTAATTGTTTTTTTATGATATCAATATTCACAGGTACACAGCATTGTTATTATCAATGGTAGTAAGGCACATTGTTGTGAGTTCATAAATATACTAACGGACTATATAAAAAGTATATCTATTGATAGTCATAATTGATAATAAACAATCCATGACCGTGACAGCGATGTCATAAAAACCATTTAGCTACCTGTATTTGTAATCCCTTGTGTATTATACATGTATATTAACTCAAAAATTTGAAATTTTAAACATTTATATCTAATAAACGAATAAAGTTATATTAAAAATTCAAATGCCATTTACTATTAAATTAAAAACTCAAAAATTTTATTAAATTAAAAATATGTGTTTCCATTTAAAAAAACAAAGTTGACATCCTTACAAGGCATAAGGAATGAACATAAAAAGTATTACATATTTAATAATTCAAGAATAATGTGTAACTAAAGATAACAAAAAAAAAAAATGTTTAAATATATTTATTCTGTAAGTAATTGAGTGGGTTATGATAAAAAAAATCACTTTGTATACATATATATATACACACACTCAAATATTTTAAAAAGATATAAAATTAAGTTTTTACCTAAATTATCAAAAAATATAGTTAAATATTTATAATTTACTGAAAAAAACTCATAAGTCATTAAAATCCACATTTATCTATAGGATATTTTTGAGTAAAATATAATAATAATATTTCATTAATAAATAGCACAAGTTCAAAAGATTTTTTAGGTATACCATTGGTTGTGAGGATATTTTTAAAGCATTTTTTAGACATACTAAAAATATTTAAAGTTATAAAATTGGTATTAACATTTACTATTCTATATTTATCGATTTGTTAGCAATATATACATACTATAATTTCTTTAGTACAAGATGCTTCATTATTTTCACTATGGTCAGTCCAATTTTCATCTTCATCACCCCAATCATCACCATGAAGAGGACTTTCATCAGAAGAAATGTCATGGTCGGTACAAGTATCATTAGAAATAAGGTTGAGGTAACCATTGCTACTATGAGTATTAGCCAAACCTATTTCATCTGAATCTGTAGCAGGAGCTGATTCTTCTGCTATTAATTCTTGTTCAGCTGCTTCTAAAACAACTGGACACATTGCTGGACTTTGACTGGTGGAGTCAGTCCTATCAAGACACGATGTAGAAGGGTCTTCAAAATCTAATTGGTCACCTTCCATTCTAAAATAAATATTAATTTAACACATAATTAATTTATTGTCAATATATGAATTTGTTTTTAAACATCAAAGCATAACAATAGATCTGTAGCTTCAATGACAAAATTGGAATTTAAATCACTAATATGGGAATTGTACTAAATTTAAAAAAATTAATTTTTAGAAAACATAAATTTCAATAACTTGTTGAAAAATTAAATCATATTTAGTATAGAATAAGAATAACATTGAAAACAAAATATGTTATATATGTATATAATATGCCTAGATTGTTTATATAAACAGTTGTTTCCTCCTTTTAAATTAAGTAATTGTGAATTATAACCTTTTTTTATGTTATAATCATAATAATATAACTAACTTATATAAAACAAAGAAAGATATTTCTTCTGATATCCAAAAAAAAAAATGAAAATTTTTAACTCAACAATGAAAGATACATGACATTATTGAACAATTCACATTTTAGTAATCAATGAAATAGAAAAATTGGTTTAAAAAACATTTTTAACAAATTAATAAACAATATAAAAAATGTTATTGTTCATATATTATCCAATAATAATATTATTTTAATAGTTATAAAATAAAACAATATTAATCACATCTTTGGTCTACATACTAAATAGTCAAAAGATAATCAAGAACTTAATTGAAATTTTTACTGATTTATTATTTCATTCGTAGGAATATTATTATAAATTCCAAATAAATTAGTTACAGTAATTAATGAGATGTACATCAATTTTTCATAATATTATTTAGATTTAGTAACAAGTTGTATTTTACTAATAAAATGTCTAATTTATGAAATTAAGAATGAGCAATTTTTTTTTTGTAATTTGAATTATTTATATGATTATATTTAAAATATTTCAATTCAAAATAATTTCATAATTTTCAAATATTAACATTTAGGTCATAAAAAAATATGGTTATTTTAAAAGGTTTTAGGTCAGTAAGTAGAAGTCATTTTTAGAATTCTTCATTAATTGGAAAGTTGTAGTACAATAAAACACTTAATACATAAAAAAAATTGAAAATTTTGAAAAGCTTATGGTTTAACATAACATACAAAACTAAAAAATATTTTGCATACTTTTTTATAAACTAAGGTATTTTTGTTTAATAAATAGTATGAAGGTCATATAATACCAACAATAAATACAGGTCAAGATTGACTTTTTATTCATAATTGATGATTCAACTAATTTAATTAAAAACAATGAATTAATTATTTAATAAATAAATGTATTTGTAAACTATGACAGTGAAAATTGTAATGGTTAAATGAAGTTTTCATACTCAAAGTAAACTATGCTCCAATAAAAATATTGAAAATTGACAATTAAATAAAAATCTACCAGGTCATTTCATTATCAACAAAATTAGTTTTCACATTAACACTGAATAAACATTAAAACAAAATATTATTAAAAACAATGTAGAGAAGATTTTTTAAATATAAAACTAATTTAGAGTCTAGATAGAAGATATAACTCACAAATTATATACAGAACATTTCAAACAGCATAGTTACAAACTAATAAGATATTAAACAAAGTAAAATCTTATTTAGATTTTTTCAACATCATTTAAAAACATGCCTAGTCTCTGAGAACCTAAATTACAAGTAAATATGAAATAGTATAACAGTGTTTGAGGTTATACACTTACATATTCAAAAGAGAGTTCACAATACTATGAAACTAAAAAAATTCAACAGAAAATTATTTAGTATGACTAAAAAATTATTTCTTTAAATAACAATTACTATACACATCCCTAGTTCAATTCAACATGCGTTTCGTTATAAAAGACCTAATTTAAGTGAGCGATGACGTAATTGTGTTGTTTTTAATACCGTTGAAAATATATTAGACATAATAAAATAAAATAATTATTAGATAGAATACAACTTTTTAATATTTACCATAGGTGTATATGAAATCGTTTTGCTGGTAACAGATGGTAGTTTTCTCGTGGAAATGAAAGAAGAAATTTAGAATAGGTACGAATGTAAAAAATAAATACTCGTCACTGGCCCCTGGGATCCCCTCTCTACTCCTCCAACCATTGACAAAAGCACATTATCAGTATCAATAATAATTTATTTGATAAAAGTATTACTCATTTTCATTTAAACGCCACAATTCAAAATATATCAGTTTATTTACTAAAGTACGATAAAAAAAACAAACTAAATGTTTTATTTAATGTCAAAAAACAGCTATTAACATATAATCTTAAAAAATGTTTAAGAATTACGTTTAAAAAATTATTATCTTAGACTGTAATGTAGGTATAAATATAACCTCAAAACATATAAACGGTTAAAACATATTTGATAACAATATTTTACTATGTTATGTTATCAAAAAAATCTTATTACTAAATACTTCTAAAAGTAATTTCTTTTGTATTTACAGTGAATATTTGATTAACTCATTGTGTTTAGGAAATAATATGTACTCAAATTTTAACTTTTATGGAAGTATAATTATACTTAAACGATAGTATAACTGAAGTTAAAAATAATAAAATATGGCGGTACCATCGCCTAAATCGCCAGAACAATCTGAAAGAAGCCGAAAATATGATCGACAGCTTAGGTACCTATAATTTATTATTTTGTGTTGAAATTAATTTTGTATTTTATTTGCATACAAGACATACTAAATTCTTAAAAAAAATTATTATTTATGTATAATTTAACAAAATATTCTTATAACAATCATACTCAAGTTGGATAAAAAAGTAAATCAGTGCAAGTTTTATATAAGTTTTAGTCATATGTTGAGTCTCATATTACTTAATAATTTTCAAAAACTTAATAGATTCTGATGACAATATGAATTTTAATACAAATATAATAATTATTGTTGCTAAATATATATTTTAATTCATTAATCTGTTTATACATAGACTGTGGGGTGATCAAGGACAACAAGATTTAGAGACTGCTCATGTATGTGTTGTAAATGCCACAGCACTCGGTACAGAAATATTGAAATCGCTGATCTTACCTGGTGTAGGTGCATTTACTTTAATTGATAATGAAGTAGTTACTGAAGAAGATGTAGGTTCTAAGTAAGCAAAATATTTTGTATTATACTTCATTTAATTTTCTTTCAATTTAATAAATATATTTTAATTTAGTTTCTTTATTACTACTGAAAGAGTTGGAGAGAAAAGAGGGTCTGTTACTTCCCAATTACTATGTGAACTCAATCCAGATACACGAGGTCACTTTGTTGATGAATCAGTTTTGAAGTTATTAGATTTAAATCCAGGATTATTTAAAACATTTACAGTTGTAGTTACCACATCACTTCATGAAAAGTATGAATTGAAGTTACTATGAAAATTGTATTTAATTTTATAGTTAACATAAAGTATGTATTGTTTTGTAGAGAAATAATTGCCTTATCTCATAAATTATGGGAATGGAATATTCCTTTAATTGTTTGTAACAGTTATGGTTTCTTTGGGTCAATGCGATTACAAATTGATGAACATACTATGATTAAGACACATCCCGACAATCAAAATCCTGATCTACGATTAGACTGTCCATTTCCTAAATTAAAAGCACATTTTGATAGCTATGATTTAGATATACTTGAACTCACAGATCATTTACATGTTCCGTATCTTATAATATTATATAAACATTTAGAAAATTGGAGGAAAGAAATTGGTGATGATACAGCTTTACCTGAAACTTATAAACAGAAACAATTTATTCGACAAAATATAAGAAATAGTTTGTTAACATAAAACATTTATTAGTAATTCAATAAACATTTAGTTTATTAAATAAAATTTTTCATTAATTTTAAGGTATAAGAAAACATGATAATGGTACACCTCACCATGAAGAAAATTTTGAAGAAGCAATTAAGTGTGTAAACTTTGCATTTAATAAAACAACAATTCCTTCAGAAGTTCAGCAGTTATTTAATGACGAAAAACTTATTAATTTAACTTCAAATGTTGGTAACTAGATTAAATAAGTAATTTCAACATTATCTTAGTGTAAATTAACTTAATAATGCTTAAATTTTCTTTTCTAGAGTAAACCATTTTGGATTATGGCTAAAGCTCTTAAAGATTTTGTAGAAAATGAAGGTAATGGTAGATTACCTGTTCGTGGAACATTACCTGATATGACTGCTGATACTTTCAAATACATAAGCTTACAGCAATTGTAAGTTAAGCTTTCAATAAATGGCATACATAATCAATTTTCAAAATATTTTAAATCTATGGCTCATATCCAAAATCCGATAGTCACAAAAATGAGTTTTTGAAACTATTTTATAATTTATATAGAAATGAATATTATTTGTCTTATGACAAAAAAATAACTAGTCAATTTTATTAGGAAAGTTTATTTTTTGCACTTGTCTATTTCCATAAGACTCTTGAAATTTTTTTTTAACATATCAGCTTTAGGAAAATAGTTACAAAAACGTATTTATACATATTTAATTTAAAACAGAATAAAAGATTTTTATCCGAGGAATTAAAAAAGAAGTAAATGTCAAATACAATTTTATTCTTTCATTTACCTTATTAAATTTAATTTATTGAAACCAAGATAATAGTTAATATTTAAGTTTTGATGAATTTAATAAAATGAAATCTTATTATTCAAATAAAAATAATATAATAATACTTTTCTAAATTACTAACATTTTTTATAAAAATATTTATCAGTTTTCTTATTATTAGTCAATGACTTATCCTAACATTCCTTTAATTATACTTGTTGCATTTTTCAGGTACCACGAACAAGCTGCTAAAGATGCTGAACAAGTTTTCAATAGAGTCCAACAAATACTACAAGATATTAATCAACCTGATGATACTATTAGTGAACACGACATAAAAATATTTTGTAAACATTGTACTGAAATATGTGTTATGAGAGGCACACGAATAGCTGATGAATATGAACGTAAAAGTGGTGCAGAAAATGAAATAGGTATATTTATATTTGAATTAAAAAATTTTAAGTCATGTATATCCTTGTATATTATTTTCAGCCCAAAGTCTTGAAGATCCAGATAGTTTAATTGAACATTATATTATCCTAAGAGGTATTGAGAGGTTTTATTCTGAATATTACAATTATCCTGGTGAAATTGATGAACAGGTTGAACCTGATATTCCCAAATTAAAAGTTAATATAATGAAGATTGCTATGTACATTTTTCTATTTCTATTCTAAATTAATTATTAATTCATTTTATAGTCATGCATAACAAAATTACTAAATGAATGGGGTTGTATGTCTTCTACAAAAGAAGATTGTATACATGAATATTGCCGTTATGGAAAATCTGAATTACATAGTGTATCATCTTTTATTGGTAAATTTCTCTTATGTACATAAGTTTAATATTACAATCATCATCAAATTTTTCATTTTCAAATATTTCATTTTTCAAAAACCTCATAATTCTAAAAGATAAATAAAATTAACCCAACACTGCAAAATACACTTTAAAAAATCAGTAGATACTCGTATTTTAAAAGTAATATTTGTGGTGTACGGTAAATTTATTTATTTACTATTAATTAGCCACAAGTAAAATCCACAAATCAATTTTATACATTTTGAATTTAACTTAATTTATCATGTTTTTAACACTCATAATTCATAACACTGTCTGTCCATCTTGGCTTTTGAGCTTTCAGTAGATTCTAAGCTTCCAATCCAATATAAATATTATCATATAAAAATTAAAGTAAAACAGTTAAATTAAAGAATAATTAATTAAAAGATGGCTTATATTTTTCAGGAGGTTGTGTATCACATGAAGTCATTAAATTAGTCACTAGACAATATAGACCAGTAAATAATTCATTTGTTTATAATGCCATTAATTGTAGTACTGAATCCTTCACACTTTAATATTTTCAATTAGTTAAAAATTTGTCTCTTATATAAATTAAATATTTAATTATTTTAAAAAATTATGTATTTTTTGTTGTTTTATTAATTATGTATTAAATTTTAACAATCATAAAAGGTCACTTTATTTATATATTTATAATTGTTGTTCATTTTTTTATAAAAAAAAAAATGAAGTGTTTGTAATTTATAAATTATTTTCTATGTGAAAAGGGCTGCATAATTAAAAAGAAATCATACTTTTTTTTGTGTAAAAATCATTGATATTTGTATTATAAATATTAAGTTTTACATCAATTTCATATCACTAATTAATTCCTATACTATAATAGATGTATTTAACATTTTTTTTAATAACCAACTCATTTTTTTTGAATATGTAAAAAGATTTACAATAACAATTTATAGTTAATGTAAAAAGTTAATTAAATATTTTATATATTTAATTTTTAATGCTATGTAAGAAGACACTTCTTATTTTAAATGTATTAATTTCAACTATACCAGCTTACTGCCTTTAATTTAATTGTGAAAGGTTAGTTATAAAAAGATAAAATGACTAGAATTTTTGGTATCGTTAATCCATGATTATTATATGGTATATTAAAAAAACCTGTTCAGAACACTTTAAAACTAAATACGAACTTCGTACAAATTTATTGGAAATAAATACACCCAGAGAAAAACCTCGATCTATATAATAAATTCATTGTTCAATTTGATAAATATATCATTACTATTGAACCTATGATATATTTATCAATATGAATTTTTTTTCTTGTCTTGAACAATAATTATTTTATTCCTATTAATAAAACATTATCATAAACCCTTAAAATTCCTTTAAAATAAAATTTCTCTATCAAAATTGACTTAGGTTTTTCTTTGGGTGTATATACTTAACGGTTACATATGAAAAATTATCATTTTTGTTTGGACCATATGTCAATTATTAGTTAGCAAATCAACAAAAATAAGTTGATAAAATTAGCTGTGAGGGCTTGTATGGAGTATAAAAATAGATAACAGCAGTTAGCCTTGTTAATATATTTATAAATAAAATTTAGTAGTGAATAGTATGCACGGTTGAGAGGATAAAATTGTCATCAGTATGCTTCTAAATATGTCGCTTTTATTTATCAAATTTATTTATTATTTCCACCCGTAATTTAAAGTTTAAAAACCAATATGACTGACGTGCTTTTACTAAATACATTTCTATAAAACAATAAAAGTTTTCATTGTTTTATGGTAAAAACGACTTAGTTTTATTTTCATTAATAATTACTTTAGTTATTTTAACATTTTTCGAACAGTTTATCTTGTGATTCTTTAAGAAATAGTAGCAGAAGTCGGGATAAAAATATCAATTCCCCGTAGGTCTAACTCTTTAGGTCGGTAACCTCTGTAACAGAACAGACGAATAAAAATGACAATGACCTTAAAACCTTATATAATATAAATAATAGTATATACGACTAGAATATAAATATTAAATTAGTTTTCAAGTAGAAATTTTTCTAATAATAAATAAAACATTTTTAAAATTGTACATGAATTGAATACATAATTTAGATAATAAGGACTTAGACAAATACTTTTATCGAAAAGAGACTAGACATTTTTAACGACTTATTTGCTTGTTATCCTTTTTAAAGTACCATTTTCAGTAAGTGAAAATAGACTTCGACTAAATTTGAAAGGGATGCTTGCGACTTAGCGTAAATGATACTTAATAATTTTTATCTAATCAAACAATATAGATTTTAATCTATTTTTATTAAATTTGACTTACCTTCAATCAATAAAACAAAACAAACATATTTTTATAAGCCATAATGATTTAATTTTTAGTAAAAAATGACTTATGACAGGTAATATCAAAACAAAACGTGAATAGAATTTAGTGGACCAAACAAAATAAACGAATAACAACCATTAAGTGGAAAAATGCAGCTACAAAAAAATTCTAATATCCCAATGAGCCTACATGAACTATTTTAAGACAAGGAGAAAAATTATAATATATCTCAATTAAAAACATGCTTCACAAAATTATTTTTGTGAAATTTGTACTTTGTTATATAAAGTAAATGAGGCGTGGCAAGGCAGTGATCTAAGTACCGAAAATAAAAAAAAATTTATATTACAACAAATTACTTTGTATATCCATTCCAATATAGTAAAAAAAAATTCAACTTGAATCATTATTTATAAATTGTAAAAACAAGTATCCAAAATTAGTGCTTTCAATAGCTCCTTGTAGCAAATTTTTTTTTCTTAAATTTGATTTATACAATCTATATAATATTGGTAATATAAGTATAAAAGATGATAATGATTTTTTGACTTGATTATCTTAAGAGAAGCTGCCCCCCCAACACTCTTTTTGAAGTGATATTATATAGTAGTTAGGTGATTATTAATATAATTTGTGGCAAAATGAAATAGTTTTTATTGATTTCACTGTTCAAATGTACTTCAATTATAATAATTGAAGTACATTTGATCTATGATAGAGATAAGAAATGTTCATTGGATTAATATTGATTTTGGACTTATATTAAATTTTTACATTACATTTTAAAGATTTAAGTTTTTATAATAATATAGTATTAAATATTGGTTTGAAAAATTATAGTTCTTTTTATCTTTATCTGTGATCAACCTAACTTTAAATAAATACATTATTTAAATCATAAATGCACTTTATGGAAATATATAAATGACAAACCTTAAGTCAATAACAAATATTTGACATTAGTATTCAAATATCAAATACTGATGTTCCAAGAATTATATAAAATAAATTCAAACAATAAATAGTAGACTTAACTTATTACAATATTACAATAATATAATAATTTATTGATACAAATTACATATATTCATTTGAATTTTAAGGAAAATCACATTTTAGATAAAAGTTTATTACTTTATTTTAGAAACATTAAATAAGAAAAGAAATAGTAAGAAATAATTTTAAATAATTCAAAGTAATTAGTTAGTAAATGAATAAATATTATCTAAAAGGTTCATACAATTAAAAAAAAAAAAAACAAAATTTATATGACGAACAAAAACAATAACCAAAAAACCAATAACAATTAATCACCTGCACCACAAAGGGTTTATAAGCTATTGAATCTGTGCATAAAGATATTTTTAACATACTCTCAACATACATGAGTAAATTATTTATTTATAGAACAAAATTATAAAAACATATTTTTTGTTATTTTTTCTTTACGATTATTCATTAATTTTAATAATGAAAATCAATATATGAAATATGTAGTATGTTCGAAAAAAAGGTGAAATTGGCTAGTCAATTGCCTAGAATTCATCAGTTTTAAAATTAATATTTAATATTGATATAAAAGACAGCTTTTACTTTTTTTTTTTTTAATTTTATAATATTTTTGATAAAAACAGTTTTTACTAGAATAAATATTTGCCAGCTAATATACCTAACAAAGCAACTAATATTGCCAAGCCTAACATCAAGGTAATATTGACATTTTTACTTTGAATGGCAACATGATGGCTATTGCCAGCAGAGCGTTTTTGAAAGTTTTGATTCTTAATTTCTTGTTGTAGTCGTAATAATTCTTCCTAAAAACAAAATATTATTTATTAACAGTTGATTAGTTATGTAAAAGTTAGTTTAATTCTGAAAAGTTAATATAAAAATAATAATTAAGAATCTATAAAAAATATTAACTATTTATTAATTAATAAAAGAGTTCACAAATAATATTTAAAAAAAATAAGTGCAGGTTAAAAATTACAATAACTAACTTATTAATTAAAAAAATTATTTACTTTGATAAAAGCACTTATATATATTAGAAAAATAAAAGTACAGTAGTTTTTCCTTTTCTTTTATATTAGAACATGATATATATTACTGTTAAGTTATTAAGTATTATGTTCAATTATGCTTATTTATTTAGAATATGAAATTTTATTAGATAATTTATAAGTTTATAAGTCATTACTGTGCCTCTCCATACCATCAGAGGCATAATTAAAGGTTGATAAAAAGGTAAAACCCTTTCAGAACAAACCATAATTAGTTTACCTCATGCTTTCTCTTTTTACATATATTCATAAATATATTTTAGTAAATCAATGATTGATATTGTTAAATAATTTTTGTTATTTACTTTTAATTTAATGTTTTCTTGTCTTAATACATTTTCTTCTTCTCGTAATTCTTTCACTTCAGAAGTTGCTTTTTGTAATTCAGACACAGCATTATTGTCTAGCATAGCCTAAATAATTTTTAAAGTTTTATATAAGTTTATAAATTACAATTAAAATATTTACAGTAGTATCTTCATGAATATTTTTTGACTCCATTAATTGTTCAATAGTAGGCATTTCAAAAGAGCATTTCAATTTGGAATCCATTATTCTACTTTCATTAATATCTCTCCACTAAATTAAAAAAAAATTATAATTGACTCTTATGGTATATATTTAACTCTTCATAAAAGTTTTTGTAACAGATCTTAATAATTTTTAGGAAAATTATTCATATGAATTACAACTATACAATTCATTTAAAAATTAAGTGACCTGGAAAGTTTTCCCGTCTTCTGCATAGTCAGTAGTTGGGTCAATAACAACAGTTTGTACCAGGAACTTGTGTTTGTTTCTTTCATTGGCATCATAGTCAAATGGTTGCAATATTACTGGATCGCAAAATCAAACAAGCACAAACAAAACATAGTTAGTACAATAATTTGGAGGAGTGAACAGGAGATTTCACACAAATTAAAATTGGGTTAAGAAAAATAAAATCATAAACTATTTGCAAAAACATTTTTAATATTTAACCATTTTCATATTAAATACATAAAAATAAAAACAAAATTACAAAAAAAAAAACTATTTTCTATTTACCTGAAATTTCTGCCTTTTCTTTAGCATAGAGTTCACCACAATTTGGTCTTACACAATAACGTTTAGGTGCAGTGGTTTTTATTTTGAAAGCAACTGTCTTATCAACTGGATTTTTCAAAACCATTACTGTTTGAACTGGTTCAGTAAATGGACCTATGAATAAATAAAATAAATAATTTGTTCATTTATAATAACATATATATATTTTAACACAAATTATTTTTTAGTATTTAAAATAAATTTAAAAAAATTAAAATTAACCACTAAAACATTAATATTTAAAAATTTTTTACTTACATTGGAACTAAAATTAAAAATGTATGAGTTTTAAAAATAAATATTTTTAAATGAAATTAATAAAATTTTATTTGTATAAAATATATATTAAAGATATAAAATTATATTATGAATTTTGTTATTATACAAATTGATGGAAAGCTAGATTATGCGTCATTTGTATGAATATAGTATTTTATAAATATATTTTAAATAATTTTTCTATTTGGCCGAAGTATCATATGTATGGTTATAAACTATAAACAAATACTAATATAACAACAGCATTCTATTATTGAGAATCAAACTGTCAATTGTTGAATTCATGATAAATTAATAAATTAATTTGTTGCTCTAGTTAAAAAAAGCAATACTGTCTCTTTGTTTAATTTATGTACATTTATCAATTAACATATTATAGTCAATACATGTAATAAATAGAACATAAAAAGGATAGATATAGTTTTATAAAATTTGAAAATTTATTAATTTGCATGTTTTTTTAAAGACTTTTATCAAATATATTGTACTGAATGATACTTAATAAAGACCGTTGTAATATAAATTTATACAAAATTCACAATGAAATATAATACTAAATAAAATTACATTATTATTAACTTATATCAAATACTTCAAAAAAGAAGTTAAGAATCACATCTCTAGTAATTATAAAAATAATTTTTTAGAATCAAAAAATATAAGTAATGGCTTCATAAAAAGTTATCAAACTAATATAAAAGATAACTCAAAAGTCTATAGTAAAACAAACATCGAATAATTAAAAGATCCTGACCTTTGAATTTAAGCTCATGTGGTGGCTCGATAACCAAAATCTGTTCAAGTTTTGACGACATTCTTTTAAAAGTAACTGGAGAAACCGTCAAAAGTAGAAAATTGGCGTTCTAGGAATAGACCGCGCGTAAATGAACGGCTGTAGCTGTAGCTCAGAATACGTAAATGCTGATGACGATGGTGATTTAAAAAGTTATACACTTGTTAGTATACTCAATGTGATAGATATTGTACCTTACAATCAATATGACAATACCGAAAATAAGAAAAAAAGTTTATGCCGTTGTTAGTGTGGTAAATTGCTATACAGTGGGGCAATTATATTAATTTTTGCGGAAACAGTAGGCCGAAACGTAATGTAAAAACTCTTGGCCAATCCGTGCGCATGAGTAGAGTAAAATTGATGATTAGAAAAAAACAACAAAAACACAACCGTCTGTTCGACTAGAATACCAGCTGTTGCTATAAGAGGTTAAGAAGTATAACTAGTTACCGTAACCGTGGTCAAAATACTTGTTTTTTGGCGGGCTTATGGCCAGTGACAACAACTAATTTGAAATGCGACGTTTATTGAATTAAAAATAATTCCTCAGAGCGCATATTGTAACGATATATATATATATATGTATTGTTACAATTCTTTCTTTTTTTTTGTAACTCTTACTATTTTTCTTAGTACAGGGATATCATTTAAAAATTTATAAAGTGTTAGAGAGAATGGGATGGGTAAACTAGTTTTTAATTTCATTATAATTACATTATAAGTTGTTAATTTATTATCAATAGTAAAAAAGGTAATGGTATATTGTAAACTACGACAGTAAAACGATACTATTTGTTTCCACAAAATTTTAATGTTTTGAGTGTCAAAAGAGAATACATTTTTTGTTCACAAGGTAAGTCAACTTATATTATACTTCATAATTTGACTTGTACAAATTGTATTCTTAATTAACTTAAAATTCTCTGCTAACTACTATTTTTACTCGTAATTTCACTTTTTATAAAAATTCTAAGTTTCCTTATGTATGTTGTATTTAAGGTATAAGTGCGCGTGCCCCGGACGGAAGTTTTTTTTATAATTTTATGTTTATACCTATACAACAATATACCGGGCAACACGATTACAAAATGTAGTCTTGTGAAGGACATAATTATATTTGTATTAGATATTCTCAATGCTGTTATAGTAATTTGTAAATATTGGACAAATTATAAACACGACTCAGAAATTTGACAACAAAAATGAATCTGCTAAAACAGTCACACACACTGGCGTACGCAAGGAAGAGGTTTTGGGGGTTAAACCCCCCCCCCAAAAAAAAATTTTATAAGCTAAGCAACAATTTTGGACGATAAACAATAAGTAATAACAATAAAAAAGATTATATCATACTATAAATATTTCCACAATAAAGTAATCGAAAACAGGAAATTTTGTGAGCGAACAATTAGGGCAATGTAACATCTAATTTTCTTTAAATTTCAACAAAAAAAAACCCCACAAATTAAATTTTTGTGTACGCCACTGGTCAAACAAATAAGTTTGAAAAATTGAATTTCTTTTACAAACTTTTTATATTGCGTTACTGAGAAATTACAATATTTGAACATTAAAACAATTGTATCTTATACTAATATCTATTACTTAATATTAATATTTAATAAATAGTACTTTTTATTTCTTCTAATATTTATAAATATTTTTGGTACATAAAATATTTGACTTTATTTTTTTGTTTAAGTTATTATATGAGTTCATTATAAAAATCAAACAAATAAAAGATATTTTAAAATATAAATGAATATTTAAACTGATGATTATGTTTTTAACTGTTTTTCTGTTATTACTTTTGTAATTTCAACACAGAAAATAAAATAGTATTACCACACTTTATAGGTGATCCGTTTTTCATAAACCATTAGATTACTTGAAAAATAATTGTAATATTGAAAAAAAAAACCCAGCACAGGTGGCTGGCGGCACAGTGGTGACGTGGCATAGATGGATCCAGTATAATGATATCTGACAGTGATTAAAATCACTATAAAAAAAAAACGCTTCGATGCTAATCTTTAGATAGTGTTTAATTTTAAAAAGTTGGTGGATTATTCCAAAAGCTACATGATCTGCTAGTTCATTATTAATATCCTGATTAAGATATAGTATGTCAAATGAAAAAGAGATTATTAAAAAATATTATTTCTCATAAAACTAAAATTAACACTTTTCAATATGTCATAGCATTATAAAGTTAAAAATGTAAAAAATATAATCGAGAATTTTCACACAATAATAACATTTGGTACCCATTTTCACTATGAAGATAAAATAAAGTCCGAAATTTTTTTTTACCATAATAAAGTATCTTACATTAACTTTAATTTAAGATATATATAAAAGTGTCGACTTTCCGGAACACTTTCAAAAGTCAAGTTGAAAAAGTTCTACTTTCTACATGCATTTTTAGATTTGAACCCCCCTCAAATATAGGGAAATGGTCCGATTTAAAAAAACAGTATGTCGAATGAAAGATGTATACAAATACTACTTCTCATAAAAAAATTGTATTGATCCATACATTTTTCAAATAGTTATAGCATAATAAAATTAAAAATGTAAAATACAAAATCGAAAATTTCCACACAAAAATAGCATTCGGTAGCCATTTTCACCGTGAAGACAAAATAAAGTCCGAAATTTTTTTTTTTCATTATAAAGTACATTACATTATCTTTAATTTAAGATATATATAAAAGTGTCAGACTTTCCGAAACACTTTCAAAAATTAAGTGTAAAAGTAAAATTTTTGTGAAAAAGTTGTCATTTTAAATCCCCCCCTGTAGACAAGTAAAGAGTCACATATAAAAAAAAAATATACCAAATGATATGTAATGATATCATGCATCTATATAAAAAAAAATTTTGATTCGGTTATTTTTAAAAGAGTTATAGCAATTTTAAGTAAAAAAAATTTCGAAAATTAGCGATTTTTAAATTTGTAATTTTTTTGAAGGTTTCCCTCATTTACGGGGAACTAGGGAATTTTTTTCAATTTTTGAGGGTAATGTTTTCGACTAGATACAATTTGTGATCTTTTGACGTATCATTGAAAGAAATCGGTTCGGTGAGAGCTGAGAAAAAGTGATAACAGCCAAAAAAAAAAAAAAAAAAAAACACATCTTAGTAAAACCAATACCTTCTCAGCTTCGCATCGAAGCTAAAATGTTGGTTATTTTTAGTTACATATTCTTCTTTATATAAGTGATTAATTACTTTTTAACATAATCCCCCATAACTTATAGGAGTGTTAACATTATATTTTTAAATAGTAACATAAATAGTTAATTAACTTATAAAAAGCAAATGACGGGTTCATAACAACTTTTGAACTAATACTACAGAAATAATATACTAGGAATGAGGCTCGGGTATGATATTTATATGATTTGACTTTTCTTGGACGTACTGTTCTTCGCCTATAAAATTTTTTTTTGTCCTGTCATTTAAATTATAAATTTTGTGATAAAATGTTTTTTTATTAGTTTATCTGGAAATATTATAAGCTTTTTAAAACATTAAGAGAGATTACTTAATATTAAATAGATCTTTTAATAAAAAGATAATAATATAAAGATATAATTTTTGTTCTGATACGAAGCTGAGGTTATACTGTTTTAAAATTTTTTAGGTGACTCTAGATTGATTTTGCTGATTAATATTCACTAAAAAAACTTTAACTATATCTGGTTAAATTTATCGTTCTCAAAAATTAAAAAAAAAAATTCTCTTAATTTTAGAAGAATGTCCCAAAATTTAGGAAACAATGATAAGCCTACATTATGATATATTCCCTGCATTTCAATTTTTGAAAATATTTGGAACATCTATATTATTAATGATAAACATCAAATAAAAACTTTTTAAATTTACTCAGAGATTAATAAATGAAAAACATTTTTTTTTAATATTATATATATATTACGTGTAATCAAGTGGTTTATGATAAACCAATCACTCTGTATATTTATTTATAGTCATAATTTTAAATTATGACTAATTTTTTTATAAGGCTCAGTACATTAAATTGTACTGGGTTTATGAATTAGTTAATTTAGGAGCTGTTAACCACAGCAATAAATATACTGTCATGTTAACTAGTAAAAAATAAGTAAACTTCTCTAAATAGATATTTATTCATTTACAGTATACTTTCTTCTCTTATAAAATTAAGAGGTTTCGTTTACCTTGTTTCGCGTAATTCCGATATCATCTTGTCGCGTCCTGCTAGTCTTGTACTTGTTTTCCTACAGGTCCATTGACCTATGATGCTCGTTAGAGTTAAAGAGACTTCTCTAAATCATTGGCGGTATTGAAGTAAGTCTCCAGGAACACAACACCGACGTGCGACGACCGAAAACCAGACTTCAAGTGACCCCTCCATCTCCTCCACATTAAGTCTTTTGTAGCGGTGGCAGCGTTTGGCGGTTAATTCGCCTAGAGAGAGAGAGAGAGAGAGAGATAGAATTTTGAACCAGCATAGCCAAGTTAATGCGTGCGCGGAAAACTAGTCTCATAGTCGTCGTGGCTAACGCGTTGGTTCGCGTCGAGTGTTTCGCGTTTATTTGATTGTTTCAATTATTTGTTGCTTAATAATGTGTTAAAAAACACAACTTTACGATTGTGTTGGTTATAAATTATGAATTTTAATTGTAATTTTCAGTTTACAATTTAGCCGTTCTGCAAATATCTCGATTCCAATATTTTAACTTTTTTATTTCAACGCATATGGAAAACTCTTAATGAGGTCAAAGGGCTTTGAGTAACTGTTGTCAGTATCGAACACATCAAAAGAAAAACAGGTTAGATTACCTACCTCATAATGTCACATTATAAAAATTCCATTATTATGTTTAAATGTATTGTAGTACAAAACCGTGTACTTGAATGGCACGTTATATCAGTATCTTAATACTATTTTGGAACAATAAATACCTCTACAATACCCAAATGTAACGCCGCACATTCTACTTATTAATATACCTCACCCAATAATAAGACCAATACAACATATAATCATTAGTTTTAAATTTTAGACTATGTAATGCTTTTATGAAGAACCAAACTATTAAAATAATTTGACTTCTACGGAATAGGCTATTTTAACAAGTAATTATTTACTTAATTATTAACATGTTCATATTATTATACTATTAAGTTTAAAAGCTGAAAAAATGACCAAATAAGACGACTACAAAATGCTAAGATGTTTAATTACAAAATAAATATAGCTAATTTAATATTTCTAATTTTTAATAATTATGATTCTTTAAAAGATATATACATTTAAAAGACACCCGAAAATGTATTTTAAAACTTTTACTCAGGGCTTCAAGATTCTATAGGGTAATTGTCACGGTTAATAAAATATTAACTTTGAAGGAAAAAATGATATGCGTAAATTATAATTATATACAATGAAAAATGACTGTATTTTGTTTTGAAAAATCTAGGCTTTTATTTAGAACGTCTTAAGTCACGACTACACGATTTTCAAATAAATGTAATGAACGTCGTTATTTATTATTATTTGAATTATAATATATACTTTATTAAGTTTTTTTTCATATCTCACGTAATATCATCTTGTACCAAGTTGTATTGTTACTTCAATTTCAAACAAACATAATTAGATTGTAGCCTAGAGGTGTCAACGTTACACGAGTAACACTTATATTTATTATATAAACATTATATTTTATTATATTCTTGTGAATCAACTCTATGTGTGTGACTATACATATGAATATAAATCCAGTGGCAGACATGTCTGGCCGCAATTGAAAATGCTGACCACGTGGAACTACCTGATATTTAATTACAAAAACAATTTTTTTAACTCCTCAGCTATAGGTTACATTTAAAGGTAACTTAATTCTTGTTTAATTAAGTATATGCACTTTTAATACTTCAATTAACAAACGAATTACAATAGTTGACACTAGCTATCTTGTTATATTTCAAACAAAAATGTATTCCTTTAATGATATTAATTGGAATATTTTATTATATCGTCCTTAATCTATAATCATAAATTAATATATACTTTTATACTACGTTTGTTAACATAATGTATTAATTAATATATGTATATATACAGTAGAATTTCAATAAATCGGAGTTTAATAATTTTTTTTCGATTTATTGAGCTTTTTGAAGTTTTAAGTTATTAGGTTTCATTGGATAAAATCGACTTAAAGAGTTTAAAAATTTATTAGAATCATTTTTACATTCACAAAACTTAGCCACGCATAAATAATTGATCGATCCCTACTTATAATTCTAAATTTAATAGTTATAAAAAAGTAATCGTATTCAATGCAATAAAATAAATTTACTTAACATTATTAGTTTGATAAGCTATAAATAATATCTTGGAGTTATCTATAATTTTTCTTTTGAGTAATCAAGGTTTTCTCGAGAAAACATAATTTATTTCGACTTATTTCTATTGTATATATGATACAATAATCAAATATTATTGTTATTATGTGTTTATAATATGTAAATTTCTTAAAACTTAAAAGTAATACAATATTTGACGTATTGTAATTTGTAACTAAAAAATTTTTATATAATTATGCGTATGAAAATTAATTAATATTTAATATTAATTAATTTTCATACGCATAATTATTATATAATCATATTATATATAATACATGTTATTTAATATTTGCTGAGACTAAAGGCTGCTGTTTTTTAGCTCAAAATATATTTAAGACACATTTGATTAAAGCGAAACATATCAAAACTTAATAACATTAGTAAACTGAATAGTTTTGCTGTACAGTATGTCAGTTTGGGCTACTGTATTAACCATTAAAAGTACCTACATAGTAATCCATGCATAAACAGCCTCGAGTTTACAAGGTCGACGTGGTACTATTAAGGAAAAATATAAAAATCGTATACGCGAATTCAGTATTATTTGTGATTTGTATAAAATATGTATTAAAATTTAATGTAATATTACGGTATAACATTTAAGTTGTAGAAGAGAGGTGTAGAGATAGATTCCACTAATGTTCTTGGAATTTTCATTCATTTAGAGTATCTTACTCCAATTAATAAAATAATATATTTACAATTGCGCTTGGAATGCTTATGAAACTAGTTGAATTACAACTTGTACATTTCCCTTATTGTTAGTCTTATTTGTAAAAGGACGCACATGCGTAGGGTTAGATTTAAAATATTTTAAGGGTGAGGCGCTAATTTATTTTAGATATGAAAATCTATTTTTTACCAATTTTATCATTCAAAATGCCTTTTTTCTTATTTAGTAGGTGATGGTAATCAAAGTGGATTACGCCCTCTCCCGGATCCCATACTAGTTTCAATTTTTCAATCTCCAAACTAAATTTTACATAGAAAAATTTTAAATAAAATAGGTTTGCTTTTACTTTGAAAGTTAAAAACTTACAAAGTTGAAAAAAATATTATTGGGAATTGTAATTTTATTGCTAAAATACTTAAAATATCCAACAACAAATTAACATTTGTTAATTTTATTACTAATATATACTGTATACATCATCATTTTTAAACTTTGAAACAAATTAAAGTTATTGCATTACGTCATAGTAACTATAACGCCAGAGCACCCGCACATTTCGCGAACACCGGAAGGTATCTAATTGGGAGACAAGTTGCTAGACACAGGTGAGCTCGATATCTATCGGATTATTTTGGCCTTGGACGTTTTATGGATATGTGGGAGGTGCGCTAACAAAAGAATGAAATTAGTGAAGAAAAAATACATGAAAATCGATGGCAGAGGTGAAGAATGCGATTGACCTGGTACTTAGTGTTTGAGTATGCTTCATTGTCTTTGGGCAGTTCTCATGCTATGATGTTCATTGTAAAACCGGTTGTATGATGTAGCACATCAACCTACACGCAAGTTGAATTACTATGTGTATATTAGAGTACTGTCTACATTACAGTACTCTTTGTTGACGTAATTATTCGGTCATCGATGACAAATAATACATAATATAAAAATTTTAAAAATTAATGCATTACGTTACATTAGGATTAGAAATATATCACTGTGTCTCTTTTAACCTGCATTATTAAGAGCAAGAGATAAAAATAAAATATTGACAGTGTAAAGAGATTTTATCAAGTGGAAACTAAAGAGATGAAATAGTCGAAATTCGTTGTACATTTGTCGTATAGCTTCATTTAAATAAATATAATTATAAAGGCTGTCTATTTCAAAAAAAATTGTACTTTATTTATGAAATTTCACATTATTGATGAAATATTATCTTTATTAACAAACAATTTTATTTACAAATTATCCATTTTATAGTATTTAATTTTCTCGTTTAGGAAACTTATTTCTATTCATTAATTTTTATCCGGAATACGCCCACGATAAGGACCTACCTCTATTGAAGATGAGTCAGTAAAGTGGATTAATGGATGACCCGGCACTGACTACCGGTTTTCAAATAGTAAAACTAAGAGTCTCGGACACTGTATTCATTGTTTTTACTTGTGCAGAAAAATGTTGTAATACATATGTGATGGAAAATAATACATTTAGGAGGGGTCAGTCAACTTAGGTGTCTTGTCGCGTATGGTTTATACTAACGTGTATATTTTTGAATTATATTGCTTTGTATATTAATATTATAATAAAATACTTTACAATAGACTTTTCTTTTTGTGTAACTATAACATTCTTATAAGTAAATTGGCAGTTTCGCGTGTATTTGTTCAAAACAATAACTTATCCTAAACTATAATATAATAGCTCTCACCAGCTAGATATATAATACTTATTGCATGCAGTAATTAATGATTTATTATTATTATACATAAAAAAAAAGTGTTGCTAGTGAGTAACACTAATTAAAAAATAAGTTGTCTATGAAATGACAACCACTTTTTATATTTTAATTTACACTAGAATTATACTTGATATAGATCATTTGTCTTGATAAATATGGAGTTATAAATATTATCCCTCGTAGTCAAAATGATATGAGGGATAAAATTATTATTTGCCCCTATTCTCATTTATATATGGCTTTGAAAAATATATATTTTTTATTAATGTTGAAGTTTTAGATTAGAATTAAAGATTCCCTATAGTCATTTAATAATAACAGTTAAGATAAAAAAAACTTTTTAATTTCAGATTTTGTAAAAGTATTACAAAGTATATTTATATACTTAATATATTAATAATTATTTTGGTTATAATTTTATCGATGAAAATAATATTTTATAGTTGTTATATTTTTAAAATAGAAAGTACAAAATTTATATAACCACAAAACCAACAAATGTTAAAAACTTGGTGGTGTGGCGATTGTTTTAGTTACCGTAAAAATATATAAGTAATTTTCTTTAATGTACTATCTACTAGATTCTTAAAAGATTTGACATAAAATTAATGTTTCTTCATTGACTGATAATGCTTAATATAATTGATTGTTTCAACTTTATTTAAAAATATTAGTTTTAGTTTTACTTAATTTATTAAAAGTACCTAAGGCAAGTTGTACACCATTTGATAATTATTACATGTTCATTGTTGGATATAAAAATAAATATTCTGTGAGCTTATTATGTAGAAAAATTATTACTGCAGGTATATTTATAAAAAACATAATAACAGATGCTTAACACTTGATAGCTATTAGTCTATGTATAATTAGTTCAAAGTTAATTTAGCATTGCATTCTTTGAGTTTTTTTACCCATAAGCTTTGGCATTATTTATGGCTTACTAAAATTTCATTAATGAAGAACTTAAACGACTTTCACTCAATCTTGGTTATTCGAAATCTGATTATTTAAGTCTCATTTTGAATACCTAATAAAGCTTACAATTTACAAAAAGAGGCCGTAAAAATTATTTTTTTAATGCTTTTGCTCAAAGACAAAACCTAAAGAATGCTACTGATTTATATTAACCTAATCGATATCAACCTAATAAATTAAATTCATATTATTAGGTAGATAAATATTCATTGCCACAATTTCACACATTTAAAGTGACGAAATCTACAAAATAAATAAAAGTTTCTATAAACCACAGGACAATTTTTTTTAAGTTTACATGCTTATTATGTAAAGCTAGTTAAGACGAACATAATGAAAGTTTTAGTAGCAATACTGTTGTAAAATTATTCACATTTATAAAATAAAAATATTTTATTTCATCTGTCTGTATCATTGCAATCACTAACAATTTATGAATAAAATATTTTTGAAGAAGTTTGACTAACCTTATTATTTTAAGTTTTTTCATGTAATAAAAATTTTAAAAGATGGAGTGTAAGTCGTATTTTTGTTAAATCGTTTATTTTATCGCATTTTGCATTCGAAAGATCTACCAAACCACTCATTTTGCCTACAAAGACTTGCTTTTTGTAATAAATACTCTAATTAAAATAAAATCAGTGGCTTGTAACCTTATTTTTAAGATACTTAATAATTAAACATTTCAACAGACAACGATTTATGTATTGTATTTATATACATATTTATTATACATATAAAGATCCTATGAAATTTGATATAATTGCTCACAATATATGTGTAAAAATTATAAAAATACATTTTAATTTGATTTTTCATATTTTAAATTTATATTAATATAGGAGTGTTCTTAGGTTTTATTTTACGTAATTTATTTATTATATACTACGTAGTGTAGATAAAGTATTCGAATTTTCACACTTTTCATTATTATGATTTAATGACAAACCTAATTGCTTTGACTGTCCCTCGTAAATAAGATACTAAAGATGGACATGACCATATTTGGTAATTCTGTTGCCCGGGGTACGCAATTCTGCTGCTTCTAATGACCTCTTTATTTTGATCATCAAAAGATTTTTCTCTATTTTTTCATTTAAATAAACACAAACATTTCTTTAACTCTATATTTTTTATTACTTTATGTTTTAATGCCACCCACGTTAATCGCGCCCAGTATCCCTTTCTATACGTGGCCCTGAAGATGAAGAAAATCGTTTAAAACTTTAGAAGCCGAAAATGATAGCACTAAATTTTATGTACGCATATGTATACTTGTGTACTGTAATGATGTCTCTTTTGTAGATATTAATATTAATTACCATTTTCATTATTACAAATAAGTGATCAATTTTTGGGGGCGCTAATTATCTGATTTAATGTATTACACATATGTTCCAGATTGATTCAAATAATATTATAGTCCTTTTAGAAATGAGATTAATCTATGAATTAGTAAATACATCATTCCTTTGCACCTTCTTACCTGTTTGCTTTAAATTCGATACTACTTGTAAGTACAAACTCTACTTAATTGTGTATAATTTTTTAGAAAAAGTCTTGTGCTAATTTATTTTACACCATTAAGTAGGTAGGTCGAGTTTATGCGATGTATAAAATCTGATTGTTATCAAACTGATATTTTTGAGAAAACAATTTTAATCCATTTACTAAATAAATATTTACACGTACAGTATCTAAATAGTAAAGTATAAAATAAATTAATGATTCCTTTTAAAGTGTAGAATTGAGTAACGAATTAAGAGCAGTAAAAACATATATGTTTAGGTATTTTATACTTTTATTATTCATTCATTGGAATTCGACATAAAATAACAAGAATTGAAGTTGGGACCATATAGCAGTTTTATACCTAAATAGGACATGGGAAATTTATAAACGTATCTACACAAATACAACACAACATTACCGCTGACCCGGAATTTTGAAGTACAAAAATTCAAATCCTACTTCCCAATTAAAAACTGTGATCATATTAAACCGTAAAATTAATCATATTAGTAATTTAAAATACACTGAGATTATTTATATTTACATATATCTCAGATTTTACTGACAACGCTTATAACTTATGATCCAATTACTTTGTTTAATTTTTTTTAATAATTATTACCTTCTTAGTTTATGCTCAATGTATATTTTTTATCATTGATCATTAATAAGAAAGAAAAATATATATATTTTTATTTAATTTCAAAATAATAATTTTTTAGCTCTTCTTTTAAATTAATTTTGATGGGTCAATTAATTTTAGAACAAGTACTAATTTTGTTATAAGTATTTTAATACAAGGAGTGAGTGTGTGGCGGGGTGGGTGGTATACATGTACTCCGCTTGTGTTCAATACCTACCATATGTTTAAAATTCAAGATAAATACTTGTCCTAAAATTGCCATTGGCTCATTAAAATTTTTTTTAATGAAAGTATTGAAAAAACAACAAAAACTAAATTAAATTTCAACATTAAAAAAAAAAATTGAAAAATGAAGAAGATAATTTGTAATGACCATTTTTCTTAAATTCTATTTAAAAATACAATTTTTAGTAAATAATTCAGTCATCAGATTAACTTATTACAATAATAATAATGCAGTGGTAGCCACTGTTTTATTCCTCCCCAACAAAATTAGGTACTTGTTTTGAAATTCACTACAGATTCAGCTCGTCTTGATCTAAAATTTAATAATTGATGTTTTTATGTTATAAATTTTAATTCCAATGATATTTGTTATATTTCATATGAGTTAAACGTTTTTCTAAAATCAGTTTCACACATTAAATATATGAGTTGTAAAGCAAATATTAAACAGTATGAATTACTTTCGTTTAATAATTAATAATATTTACACGGTATACATAATATATTTAGGTACTAAATCGTATAGGTAGTTACTTCTCATAATTGACGGACGCACCCTATGTATATGCACGGCCTCGACTAAATATTTGACATAGGATTTTTTTATTTTCTTAAGAAAAAACTACCTGCTATTTTGGGATTACTATCAGCACGCCTTTTGTGTTATTGCGTACACGGCGCACATTCAACATGCATACATGATGCATACAATGTGAGTATGCACTGGAAACGAAACGGCTAGGGGATTGCCCCTTCCCAGTCACGTCAGTTGCAGACGGTCGGAACAACGCCACTCGTAAGGAAAAACTCAACCGAACAGTAGACACTGTACCAGTCCTGATTCGAACGCTTCACGTTTCTGTCAGTTGGCTAACGCTGCTTATCATTTTACTATTTTGACTCATTTATATCTACTTTTGTTATTGTTTTTACTTGAAATTTGAACGTAGCATTAACTGTAAGGGTTTTTCGGTAGGACCCCCTTTTCATTTTCACCGGCTTCGTCGTGATCGACTTAAGCAACGTTTTCGACCGACGCGGTCCCTCGGCCGGGTTCTGCTTAAAGTGACTTTCAATTTTACGTTAAGTAACTATAGTGACAAATGATGTATTCGGACAAAGTCGAAGTACTTAGGTTCGAAACAGAACCGTATAGAAAACATTTGGACCATCACAACGGCAGCCCTAACAAGAATGGATTGCTAAACTACAACAACAATAACAACAGCATCAACCACCACGCTAAACAATTCATCTACCAAAACGGATATCACAATCATTCTGCTTCGTTAGTATTTCACGTTTATAAATAATATTATTGACCTTTACAATTGGCTAGTCAATTACTATAAACATCTGTTTTATGCGTACGTTATAATTGTTTTTGCTAACAGCCATTACCTTGCTAGCATTACATTATAACGATAAGCCATAATAATGAATTTTATCTTGAATCATAGAGTACTGGTAAAATGTTAAATTTATAGGTTAACAGACAATAGTTTTCTGTGATACCGCACTAGTATTCTGTAACAAATATTCTCTTAAACTTTTGGCAGATTTTTAATTTTACCGCCGGCTTGTTGAAAAAACTAATCTTATGTTGAAAATAATTACTGTAGACTCGAAATGGTGATACGGTGGAGGTAAATATTGAGTGTATAATTATTTAATTTTTGAAAATTATATAAGACTTAGTTCTGTTTAGAAATATTATGATTATGCTTTAGTAAGCATTAAGTTAAACGTGTTTAGACGATAAATTGCGTTTGGAAATATTGTGTTTCTAGTTTAAATGAAAAATGAGATTCTATTATCATGTTTTTCTGCGAGTGTACGTAATACTAGTCCTAGATTTACGCGTGTTAGCTCTAGTTTTAACTCTCTTCAATGATTAAAAATGTATAAATATCATTAGATCGAATTACGTTTATGTAGTTCGTTGACACGATTCATGTTATCTTACATTTACAACTCCGAGAGGTTTTACTTTTTTATCAATTCAATGCAACTCGAAGGGAACTCTACTTGAGCTAACTTCTTTTGTATATCACACGAAAATCCTACTCGGCGTATTCCGTACCTATCTAATGAAACCGGTTTTTCTGACTAGTCTAGAGAATAAAGAAACCACATGTGTGTATGAATACTCTACACAGGACTCACAATAATAATATTATCCTTCTCGTATATGTACATCTTACTCACACAACGATTTTAATAGGTATATGATTCATGAATATAGTAGCGCATATAGCCGACCGTGACCTTTGTCACATTCCATCAACACGGAGGTAAATCTTCTAACTCCGCTATTATACCGATCATTATTAAACTGAATAGAAAATAAAAAATGCTTGCTAAGATTTTATATATAATAGTAGAGCAGTGATAATAGTGTACATCACCCAAGGTTTTTAATTTTGTATAGCTGCTTATATTTATCCACCATTTCGCATCCTCTGAAGATAGACTTTTCTCTTATGGTATGTCGCTGAGTTGAAGTAGACCTATGAATAAAATGATAACCACATTATAACAAATTAATAAAATTTAATTTGGAACTTGAAAATAACAATAGATTGTTTTTATTTTTTGCCCTGAAAACTTTTGAAAAATGTACTGAATTTTATAATGATCATAATCAAGTAAATATATACAATAAAAAAGTATAATTTTACTAATCAAGTTTGAGTCATAGAATTGAATCTTTTTTACTTTAATTTTTATATTTCGAATATGTATTACACTCTCTAATTGAAATTTTCATTCTTTTCACATAGTGTATATCCTCTAAACACCGGACAAATATAGAAGAATATAATAGTGTTATACTTCTATGGGAATTATTTAAGGTTATTTTAGAAAAACAACCCTTAAGGTTTTAACGATGAGAAATGTATTTTGCGATAGATAATATAGGTAACCTAACTAGGTAAACGATTTTTAACTGAGAGAAACACTAAAATCTCGTAGAATAAATTATTTTTTAACCTACAGTATTTTGTTTATCCAAAAATTACTATCATTCATAAAAATGGATAAATTACTATAAATAAATTGATTTTTATGATTAATTATGAAATATATACTATTTGAATTTGAATCTAAAATAAAAATCTTTTTTTAACTATGTTTGAGTTCTTGAGTACACTTGGAATAGAGAATAATGTTTATACTTTAATATTGGCTACCCTGTTATTCAAAGAAAGGGTCTCATTGTAACATCCCTCTGAAAATGCGTAGTGCGTGTGATGTTCGCGACAATGGCGAGTGTATTGGAATTCACAAAAACTTTTTGTGTAGCACTAATTATCAAATATCTTGAAACTTTTTATCGAATTATATTCAAGCGCATTAAACAATATGGGAAAAAAGGCACAAAAACCATTATATATCAAATTAGAAGAGTTAGAAGAATTGTTAGCTATCTCGGCTATAATTGTGGATCGAGAATATCCTTGTCGTCTATGGACTGAGGAAGAATATTGGGCCATTATTTGTATGACAGCAGACAAACGGCATGTAGATGTTAAATATTACATAAAACTACCTACTCAAAAAAATAGTTAGCTAAAAATATTTCAAGAAAAATATAATTCCCAAAAAACATACTGATTTATGTTGCAATTAATTAGCTATTCACTTTAGTAGCTTATTTTTATACATCCATGAACGTCTTTGAACCGTTAGATAACTCTTATCGATATAATATTAAAATTTATGTTATACTACTATATCTAACTCATAAGGTTCCGATATTAAATATGAATAATTACTTTAAATCTAAAAAACTAAAGTTGCGTTAATGACGTAAATTGTAAATATAACATTGTGTTATGAAATGCTTAAAGATTTTTTAAATAAATGCAATTAACTCTAGTGTTCATATCGCAAACTAAATTTCTTTAATCATTTATAAAATAACCTTTTTTTATAATAGGTCAACAGAAAATATGCAATTTAGTATTGTAGATTTTTCTCTTGAATACGTTTATTTTATAAAATTGGTTTTTTTTCGACTTAAACGCGTGTAATTATTTTTTTTTATCATAACTAGGTTAAATGTTTAACTGGACATTAAAAAGTACTCTAATTATGAATATTCACTTGAAACTGTTGAAAAAATATTTTGATTGCTAATTATTATTTAAATATGATTCATTCAAAATAAAGCTTAACTACAGTTAATGTAGGCGTATTACGCCCATTCTTGGCAATAATTGTGTTTTCAGTGGCTGTTGTAGTTATACACTCCATGATTTCTTCTAATAACAGAGTTACTCGTACATATAAGAAGATAAGATGCACGATGCTAGTGTAGGAGTAGTATTAATGAACGTGATTTTAGTATAGTTTTTGCCGTTTGTGGTTTTCATTGGTACCATCGTCATGTATAGCAGCTGCTGGAAGATTTTCTTTTTATATATTTTAATCTGTCGTAAAAAAATTAAGATTTAGGAACTTATTATAGAATATCTGTGCGTAATACTTATGTATTCATATAGTACTGGATGTCGCCTATGGTAAACTTATAATTTCATCGTCGTATAATTGTGTGCACTACTGTTAGAGATAGACACCGATTGTTAAACTTAATTCGTTGAAAAAAGGGGGATTGAATCACTGTTTTTATTGATCTCATGATGTTAAACCGGTGAAACTCATATGTTCGCATTGTTGTTGCGTCTCCTTTAATATGTATTATGTATAAACTAAACTGTAATAAAAAATGTTGGCCAAATGTATAGTACTGTACCGGTTCTTTATGGTCCAACGGCAGTGGAAACTGCGGGTGTGGTACAGTTTTCACCTGCTTAGTCATGGAATATTATAGTTATTATTTCTATAACTTCACGCTTATGTATTATATGCGTATTTTTCCATTAACTATTCGTATAAAATAATAATGCAATAAAATACATTTTGTGATCTGTTTCTTCTTGGAAATTTCCGATTTGTATCTTATGCAATGGTGCCAGTTGGTGAAAACAAACTCTGTTTTAAAAAATTGAACCGTCGTGAATCTACTCGGACACATTCAACTGGTAATTTATGTTTTCGTTTGAATTCATTCTATTTTTTTTCTAATTTAAAAACATCATAAAGTAAAAAAAAATCATATATTTGTTAACAATTTATGGACCATTCAAATCAGCGATATCTATTCGTTAACTGATAGTTATTACAAATTCAAGAAATATCAAAATGTTTTAAAAATATATAATTTATTTATATTAAGGAAGTATAAATTTAAAAAATCTAGAAAAATTATGGTTTAGCTAGTGTAGGATTTTCAACTTTTTTTTGGGAGCTTTCATAAAGGTATAGGTTTCATTATAGGTACTTTAAATGCATCAAAGACTTTCTCTATACATTATATAATTTATAAATCTGAAAAGGTCCAAGGGGCCTTGACCTCCTCAGAAATGCGCCACTGAATTTCTTGTCACTGGACATTTTGATCAGTCATATACTCTGTATATAGTTTTTGTATGCTCCTCCGAAAAAAAATGAAATAAAAATACCAAGCAAACTAATTTTATTAAAATGTTTACTCTTTATATAATGAGATAGTATTTTAAATAGCATAAGTATAATATAAACAAAAAAAAAATCATTTCTCGTGATAGTAGTCTATCTTAGTATGTAATAAATTCTAGTTGCCATGTACACATAGGTAGTTAACAGAGTTTTAATTGGATTGGATTTCATATTTTATGTTATTATTCTAGTCATTATCTTACATACTAACTTACATTAATTTAGTTTTTTCTAAACGTTTCGCGTGTTGTGTCTTTGAAACTTAATTCGTTACTCGCTACAAAATCGCCTACAGAATATTTTTTTAATTGAGGTTAATCTTTAATTAACTTTTCTTTGAGTAATTAAGCGATGTTATATTTGCTTGTACATTGAATGTATAAGTTGGTATACATTTTACTGTTATAACATTTACATTTATACTTCTAACTGAATTTCATGTATGTGCAGTGATAATTTTGTTTTTTTGTCTTATTATAGCAACTCGTTAAAATATTTTTATTCTAAATTATAATTGATTCAATATGATATAGAGAAAATATAATAACTAAATTGAATAATAATAATTTACGCAACTGATATCATAAATACAGCGTAATTGTTTTTTATTAATATATTTTTAATTTATTAAAAATTTCAGTTTTAAATTACTTGAGATTTTTGAATTTATTAACACTATAATAGATGTTTTTTACACTGTTCGCACTTTCCTTTGCATCATATTTTCACTTTGACCGTACTTAATTTAAAGACAAAATGTTTCTATTGTTTATAATTTTTAACTAAAATAATTTATCTATGACCGTTGGAGAGCAATGAGCACGTTCGTTCCTCAGTGTGAACACCTATTTTTTCCCCGCCAAGTATATTAGTGGTGACAAAAAACTTCAACAATTCATTTTTCATTACTTTATTAGTGATTTAATTTTTGTATTTTTTTTTTTGCATCTTTGCCGTGCTCTGCTTCTGTTAAATCAGTCTACGGCTGTTGACGGTCTCGGTCACGATAATATCGTTTTATAAAATACTCAGTTTCTTCTATTCAGTTACTTGAAAAGAGTTTAGTTGACAGCCGACGGAAGTACACGCCGGATTAATTGAAAAATAGACCATTTCAGTATTTTTCAAGCTATAATTGTAAAATAATCAGTGCTGGGTGAAGTTGGCTAAGCCTTAGATTAATCTAATATTAAAAATTGTCAAATTATATGTATGATACTTATTAAAACGACTAAGTTATAATTTCAACATGTCTTTATTGTGGACACCTTTGAGGTAAGTTTCCTTACGAGTCGTTGATTATCTTTACTTAATAATTTTTTTTTAATCTCGTTAAGTTAATTAATAGTATACATAAACCATCGTTTTTTTTAATCATTGTTTTATCTTATGATTAAACTAAATGTAGTTATGTCCTTAATACTTTTACATCTCTATTTTCAATACATATTTAGGGCTCTATTTCAATTTTAATTAATATTTTATTACAACTCATTTAAGGGGAGGTGCACTTAATTTTTTTTTTTTGCTTAAAAGTAAAGTGATGATCCCCAAAAAAAGGTCTTTATTACCATATTTTGTATATATTAGCTTTAAAAAATATTGATAATTCTAATTCAAGGAGTGGGGGCGGGCGATTTTCTTACCTGAAATACCCCCTAGGTCTACTTAACTTAGTTGGTAACGTGTCGAATTTAATTCGTCTTAGAAGGGAAGTAGTAAAGCGCAAGAATTTTTCTTCTCTAAAAAACAACTAATAATTTTTTCGGAAAGATAATCAGTAAAATCTTATTCCATTTAATTATGTTTTGCTTGTTTTAATTTGGTATATTTGTTGAATAACTATACATTGTTTAAAATCTATAAGCAAAAATTTCTGAAACTTATTTTAAAATGAATTTGTATGCAATTTATTTGATGTTTATCAAACATGTTAATTTTTCTCTAATTTTATAATTTAATATGAGTTTTTGTTTAAATATGTTCTTTATATCCTTTAGGAATTATACTTCTTATAATATTAAGACAAAAACTCCAGCAATAATTTTTTGAAACACATATTTAATATTGATAATATAATATTACTCAAACTCGATAAATAATTTTATAAATATTAACATGAAATAAAATTACATCGAAAATTAATATATTAATAACAAATCAAAGACCAAGCATTGTTTTTTTGTAATGTGAGCAGCAAAACTCATATAAATTTGAAATATTTGCAATGAAAGATTCCATGGTATACAGGGCTAAAAACCATAATTATAGTATATTATTTAATTAGGTCTATATAAATTTTTCTAAAAAATGCTGTCAAGATGGTATTTTAAATATTCTTTTTCAAAATTTGTCTTAGTAGACTTTGTTAAATAATTAATAGCTCGTTTTATTGTAGTGAGTCTATGTATAATTTATGCATAAAAAATAGTTCTTGCTATTATTTGAGACAATATTCTATAGTGAGCGTCTGATGTATCTAGGGAGTTAAAATTTATCGAGTAAAATAGAACCTTATTACATGAATTTCTATAATTCATAAATGTTCGTGTGAATGTAACTCGTTAGTTACATTGATTTACCACTATTGAGTGTTACGACACATTAATTTTTTCGCTGTTTAAATGAACCACGTGTGAACTGTAAGTATTCCTCTAACAGGTTTACATATTATCTTCTATGATAGTATCGATAAGCATGGGAGAAAATTTAAGTGGGAGAACTATGAAGTGTAGTTGTGTTAAATTTATATTCTGTCGTTGGTATTTTATTTATGAAAAAAAATCACTTATATGTCTTATAATTAAAAAACAATGACTATTTTGTTTTTAATTACTTTTCAAAAACTAATGTAAAAAATATTACTTATTCAAGTTAATTGTAGTTAGAAATTATGTGGTTTGCAAAATTATGTGCCAACGTTTGAATAGTTGTAAATGTAACAATATCCTTCTAAGTTATCGGAGAAATAAAAAACGTGAATATGCGAATATTATCATGTTCGCAATTCAATTGCGGTTATACTCTTTAGCTGATCAGTATTAGTTTAGTTAACTACCTCTACCAATAGTGATCAACATTTTAAGTTCTTAAAGTATGGATAACATGTTTACTTATGACTTGCAGTTAATATATATACAATTATTAGTTTATATAATATTAAAAAACCAACAGAAAATTATATTTCGGTCGGTATTTGATAACATTTAAATATGTAATATACATTTATTTAAATAAGATTTTTATTAATTCTAGGCTAATAGATACAGAAACAAAATCAACTATCTTAACTAATCATCAAGTGCAGCCGCCATCCGATCCAGCCATTGCATCAGTACTTCATCCTAGACATAATCCTCGGCCAGGTCGCATACTATTAGAAAACGTGAACAACCGGCCTCCAACCATGGATCGTGGTACACAAGCCAATGAAGCTGCAAATGTTGTATTAGATAACAATGATGCACCATCTACTAGCAATGAACCTACAAATAATGAACTGGTTAGTTGTCTAATGCTGTTTATTTTAAATGTAACTAAATAATATACATCATTTTATTTTTATTTTTAGTATCGAAATGCTAATATTAGTGTTACTAATCAGAAATTATTAACAAATGGAGGTGATAGCTCTTCAGTAGACAGTTTAAACAGTGCTGATTCTGCAAAACGTGAAAGTGAAGAATCAATTATAGAATTAGCCGAGTTTAATCAGCCTATGATTAGTAAAGATAACATTGATGGGCAGCAAACCATGGGAAATGGTGATGGAAAATTCCCAGGTACCAATAATGGAAAACCTATAAATGGCGTTGTCAAGGATTATCCAGTTGATGATGATACCGATAAAACTAGTTGTGGTATGGAGTGTTTGTACTTTGCTATGCAATGTTGTGAGTGTACTATTATGTGATGATGCATTTGTTTCATATGATTTTTCTTAGTTATAAACATTTAACTATACTTTAACTATTTTTCTATTAAAAATATTGTGGAATTATTTATAAAATATAATGTTTTACATTGTACACATTTGTTTACTTATAGTCATGATTGCCTTGTAAACTTAACTTAAATAAGACTGCCGTGACTGTAGCCAATCATTAATGAAATTTAACTATTACTGAACAAATATCTTATTTTTTGTTTTTATTAGTAAATACAAATAGTAATTAATATTCAATTTTTTCAATTTTGAACATTAAAAATACATTTCTTTGTTCTTTTTTTTACAAACATTATTACATTACAAAAGTTAATAATAATGTTCATTTTTTCAAAATTTATTTCATAAATTTTTAGTGTTAACTTATTATTTTTATCGTGATTATTGATTATTGACAAGCAAAGTTTAAAATATTGATTAAAAATTCAAAGTATGTGCCATTATGTAACAAAGTATTGAAAAAGGCAACTTATAATTAATGTATTCAAAGAACCATTTTAGTTACATTTATTTTTTTATTAATGACACGTGTCAATAATTATTAAGTTTTATTGTAACAAAATGAATTAATATTTTATGTTACTTGGTATGATAATTGCATTTAAATTTTTGTCCACCAATGATAAAATTATCATTGAGTTGCAAATAAATTGTCAATTAATGTGATACTGTATTGTACTATCCCAATCAGTTTAGTTAGAGTATACTGTGTACATAAATAAGTTAATCTTTTTTTTGTGAAGAATATTTAATTTAATATACTTCATGTTGTGTATATTTAAGAGTTTATTTTATTAAGTATGTAGCGTAGTAGTAATTTATAATTTCATATTTAAAGGTTTTTTTTTTACGAATCTCTATTTTGATTTTTTATTTTCTATTGTAATACAAGGTTATATTGTAAACCTTATCAAACTTACCTATTTACTTAAGAAAATAAAAATAAACGTGTAAAAATTTTACCAAGTGTAAATTTATGTTATGTTTAGTAATTCTGAAATCATTTTGACTATACAAAAAATATTGTACAGCTTTTTTTTTTTATCCAATTTATAAGATATCTATAATGTAATTTCTGTAAAGTGGCTCATGACTAAATTTGTACTATTTGGTCAAATTCCAGAGTATTAGTAAATATAATTTCAGTATTAGTAGAAAAATCATGCCACAGTTAGAAAATTTATTGTAAAATAAAAAATAACTAAAAATAAAAATCTCAAAAAAATAATACTGTTTACTATTTTTATGAATTATTCAAATTAATGTTAATGTTTTAAGACTCATTATGTTTGCATAAAATAGTACAGTTAATATCATAAGGAATATTTTTAAAGACAAATAATTATCAAAGTAACAGATTTACATTAAAATAAAATGACAAATTAACAAAATATTTTGTTTTTGTTTTTTATTTAATATTGTGGTTGATCAACAAATATTATACAAAAAATAGTTTTAATTACAGTATAATTTTATTTTAAATTTCATTGATAGTAAGAATGTGTTGAATATTCATAGTTATATCTATTAAATCTTCTTTTTCTGTAAAAGAAAGAGTAATATATGGTCATTCCAACTAAGGCCACTACAAATAATGACAACATCCACTTCTTGACTGGCGACAAGTTTCTATAAAAATTCTAAGAAAAGAAAGTTTAATTATATTTTTACAGAAACTTTTAAATTAGGAATAATCAAAGTACTTTATCATAAAATAATATTTAAAATCCGTCTTTATTATTTATGATAATATATTCAAATAAGTGAACAATTTAAATCCATTATTAAATTTTTTATGAGAATTCAAAAGTAATTTGACTTCATTTAATATCAAGGAAGTAGTAAGAGTGAGGGATAAAATAACTCGGAAAAATAATTTTACATAGTGTTATTTTTTATTGCTGTGGAAAGGTAGAGAAAAATGAGATGTCTAAACGTACTCTAGAATAATTTATTAATTACGTATTTATTAATCATATATAAGAACCTTTTTTAAGTTTATAAATATACAAATAAATGTTGAATAATAAAAACATCAGGTTAATAAATGGATAACAAACTTTAATGTAATGAAAAATAATTTTAGTATTAAGTGCGATATTTTTAAGCTATACGCTTCATGAACGGGAATTTTGTTGTTAATACTTAATTATTAAACATTAAAAAATCTGAAACGAATTTAATTTCATCACTAAAATCTTTTCTATAACTAAAAACGAATAGTAATTATTAATTATAGTTAGTAAACAATCCTATTTACATTTATTTCGACGGCAATACATGTTACTCCTAATGAATGTCCATAATTTTATAAAAATAACACTTAAGTAATAATTAATGAACAAAATTCATAAAAAATTTGATGATATCCAATAAAGATTTTATTTCATCATGTAATACATCTAAAATTTGACATTGACACTACTAATTGTAGAGTTATAATTATTAATAATTAAATCAATTTACATTTTTAGTTTTGTATTTTACTAATTTTTTTTTTTTACAATCGTTCTTTCATACTGCTTATTACTTAATTATCAAATTTCTATTTGTTTAATTAGTAACATTAAATTATAATGTTCCTGTTGACTTACTTTATTAAAAATTTTCCATCTCATAATTTTAAACAGTTTTTTATCGTCATTATTCGAATCAACATTAAGCGCCACGTATTCGTTCGATGGATCTTGTAAACATCTTGATCGCACTTGAAATTCGCTCATTTTATTTGAATTTGTATTCAGCTAAATTTTTACAGAAAAAAGATTGAACGTTGTGTGTTTCCTCATTTAAGTACTTTTTGCGTTCGCGTCATTATTTACGTACAATGTAATAAGTTTTTATTAAGAACAAAGAAAACATATTTTTAAATCGATCACTTATGTACACTTGTTTCAATAATAATTTACTGAACATACTATTATACATTATTGTGCATAATTTGTTAAAATATGAATTTCTAAGGACGAAAATAAGTTTATCTTATAACATGCGATGAACTTTTTTATTAGTTGATATTTTGTTATTTAATAATAAATTGACTTAATTTGTTAATAAACAATTTAACAATTTTTTGAACTTGAAATATTATAGTAGCTAAAAAATTTTTAATTTTTAAAATCCTAATTTTAATTATAAAACTAAATAAATGTTTATAATTAGCTAAGTTGTAATAATTAGATAGTTACAACTATTTACAGTCAAAAAGCACAACATGGAACAGTAATGCTTTCTTAATATTTATCTATTATAATTACATTATATTTAAGTAAACTTAATTTTTTTTTTTAATTACTTACACAATATTCCCATCTACTTTAAGTTAATGAGTACATTTTTCAACAAAGTATATATTTAGAGCATCATTTCCATTTCTATTCAAATTGTGTAGTTATTCATATAATTATGAAACTTACAGGATTGCAAAAAAAAATCGTTTTTTTTTTAAATAATACTAAACAAACTGTTTTTTTTTGTTTTAAAAAGGATTTAAACATTTTTTTTTTTTAATATTTGTAAATATTTAAATTTTCAATACATTATAACATCTAGAATAATTGTATAAATAAAAAAATTGTATAACAAAATAAGAATATGTATCATATCTTTTCATAGACAAAATGTATCTAAGGTATTTAAATATTTTAACATGTTTATTTGGAAAAAAATCAGTGGTTTTAGAGGTAATTTCTAAGTATTTCGATGCTGCTGCTTTCGAAAATGACCTCAGAATTGTCTTTTCAGATATTATTTTTAAAATAACTCGTTTTATTTTATTTGTGAACGTGCGCAAGCTTTTAAAGTTACCTACGTTTTGAAATTACTGAAAAAAAAATAAAAATTGTTTAAACGTTTTGAAAAAAATAGTCGATTATAGTTTTTCTAATCAAAATTACAGCAGGTAGAAAAACAGACATTATGTTAAAAAATTGGCTATCAAGGAAATCGTATAGCCTATGTAACAAAAATGTTTTACTAAAAGTAAAACCTACTTAATAATACTAAATCGTATATTTCCTCCTTTACACATCAAATTGAGATTGATGAAAAATTTTGTTAAAGCCATGGGGATGAAGACGGCGAAGGTTATAACAATCCGTTTCAATTTCAAAAAAAAAATGTTTGAAGGGGTTTATTGTATTTCACTTATTTTTCTTTAAAATTTCTTTTTATATAATACATATAACTTTTTTGAAACTTTTGAAGGGTTGATTTTAAAATAGTTTTTTTGTTAGTAACAGTTAAATCAGGTTTTAATCACATAATGATAACAAAAATACATTTTTGAAATTCTCATAAAATTGTCAATTTATATAGACTTTTTTAACATCATAAAACTGTGTTTACCACATTTGCAAATGGCACAGCTCTATTAGCTTTAAACAACAATGCACTTATTGATTTAAATTATCCAACAACTCAACAAATTGAGTACTGGACATCTAAATGGAAAATTAAAATAAACGACGAAAAGTTTGTACAGATTAAATTTAATCTAAAACGGGACGAATATTTATTATTTAAGCTAAACAATAAATACATTCATCTACAATCAGCAACAAAATACTTAGGAATTGTAATTGATAAAAGACTAACTTGGTCCAATTAAACAAAACAAAAACACAAGCAACTAAATATTTGTCTTCTCTTACTTCGACCAATATTAAAATCCAATTTAAGCCAAAAGAATGAAATTCTTGTATATAAATGAATAATTAAACCAGTGTAGTCCTATGAAATACAAATATGGGGTCCTGTTAAACCAGTAAATATACGTTCTATTTAGGCCTATCAATTGATAACATTAAGACTTATTACAGGTACCTCCTACATAACATAACATATACTACTCTACACAGTGATTTAAAAATAATTACTGTTAATGAACTCGCCAAAAGATTCCACATAAAACTATCACCCAAATCATCTCATCAACTCTGTTACTCCACTTATTTCCTCACAAATTAAAAAGAAACTGGTCTAGAGATTTACTTAGATCACAGCTAAATAATTATTAAATTATTTAAATATATATATTAATTTTGAAAATATGATACTTTACGATTTCATCATCATGATATTCATGCCCTTGTAACTACATTTGTGATTATCATTATTACTTATTATTTTGTTTATTAACCGATGGTAATATTCTTTAAAAATAAAAAAACGCATTAAAACAAATTTCAAGAGTCATTTGAAGGAAACGTTATTTCTATTTTTAATTATTTATTAAATTATCTAAATTAAGATAGTCTAGAGATTATCACAATGTAAGGTGTATAAAAAGTGATGATAAGATGATGTTAAGAAGTGATGATGATGTGAAAAAAGATGGATAGGGTATCAAAGAGAGACATTTGATAATATCTTGTAAAACGAGGGACAGAAAGATTTAATTAGAAAGAAATAGGTATGGGAGACTGTGGCATCAATAAAAAAGAATAAAGCAGTAGGACCATATGAAGTACTAGAAAAAGTATGGAAAATATTAGGCGGATTGGCATAAGATGGTTGAAGGACGTTTTTAACAAAATCCTATTAAAAGGGAAAATGTCAAAAGAATGGAGGAATAGTATTATGGTGCCGATATTTGATGAGACATACAAGAGTGTGGAAATTATAGAGTCATAAAGCTTATGAGTCATAATATGAAGATTTAGGAAAAGGTAATAGATAAGAGTAATAGAAGATTTTAGGGTTAAAGTAGAAGTGCACTAAAGTTCTACTTTAAGCCCTTACTTATTTTCTATAGTGATGGATGAAATTATTTGAGAAAAACTAGGAGAAATACCGTGATGCATGTTATTCGCTGACTATATAGTGTTAATAAGAGAAAATAGGGAGGAAATTAATCAAAGGCTAGAGGTGTGGAGATAAGCCCTTGAAGAAAAGGGTTTAAGAATAAATAGGAATAAAACAAAATATATAGAGTAAGCGTTTGACAAAGGAGAACACGAGTTAGGTAAAATGAAGAATTCAATGACAATAAGTATGAACGTGATAGGAGAGGTGGACATTTTTAAGTATTTATGATCACTTTTGCAAAATAACGGTGCCATTTACAAGGTTGTAAGACACAGAGTGGGTGAAGTGGAGAGAAGCGTCTGTATTATGCGATAAGGATAAAAGGTAAATTTTATAAAACTGTAGTGAGAGCATCTATGATGATTTTGATTCAGAGTATTGGGCAGTTGACAAGAAAGTAGAGCAGAGAATGAGTGTACCAAAGATTTTGGATAAGGGTGGCCAACTCAAAGTAGTTTATACAAAGGCTAGAAAAAGGAAGAAGTACTTAGTACATTATTATTTTTAGTATGGTGATAAAATTTTACAAATACATATATATAATAATAATATTTAATGATGTTAGTTTTATTACGATAACATTTGAATTTTTACCTCTTCTTCCTTAAGTGTTAGGCAACCAAACGAACTTTGTCATGGTTACATTCTTATCAGTTTGTCGTTCGTGTTCGGGAGTTAAATTCACCGGCATCTGCATACTATTATATTGAAATTTCAAGTCTCAGATTAGTTTTAAAATCTGTTTGGATAATTATTTTTAATATTTTTAAAAACAAATCTGCTTATTAATATGAAAAAAGTTTGAATTCTTTATTAAAAATAAAAATATTATATATTTTAACAAAAAATTGTTTAAAAAATTCGCAGGATATTGAAATTTCTGAAGTTAAATGATCAAATATTTACAAGAACCTTTATATTGAAAATACCACAATGAGAAGAAGTCATGCTCCTTCTAAACAATTTCCTTTTGTTCCTAAAGAAGACATAGGTATTGTATTACTTTAATAAATGTTTTATAAGTATGACATTTGATTTAAACTGATAAATAAAAAAATGAGATTTTATAATTTTTATGGTATTTGGTCAATTTTTTTTTTTTTTAAATCATTTTTAGCTAAATTTAAAATTTTTAAGAACATTATTAGCATTATTTTCTTAGCCCTATAGTATAGGGTATTGACTTTATATATTTTTTAATACTAACAATCATGATCAAGCATAAATGTTAAAAAATGTTGTTATAAAGATAATGACTGGTAAAAGACAACTATTGAACTAGTATTTTGAAATTTATTCACAGTTTAAAATATAGAAATTTCTCAGTTCTACTTTTCCTTCCGATTATATATTAATTGGTTATACTTGTCTTTTTTTTTTAGACAAAGGAGTGAGAGTAGTTCGTTCACCATCGGATATTTTGGCACTTATTAATTCTTGTGATGATGCATCTTCAAGATCTATACCAGAAAAAATATATTCAATAAAAAAAAATATTCAAGAGCTAAATGAACATATTAAAAGCCCAAAAAGTTCTGCCTCAACTATTGAAAATCTTAAATCACAAGAAAATTCATCAATAAAAGTGAATCTAATCAAACCATCCTACTCAAATGTCAATTTAAATGATCCATCACCAACTAAAGAAAACTTAGATAAACTTCAAAAATTAGTCCACAATGATACAAAGAAAAAATTAAAACCTTTAGCTCCTAGAACATTTAAGCCTTCCGTTCAATTGTCCACTCATGTATCTAAACCTAAATTATCAAATAATGATCATTCATCAAACAATGAACAAAAAAATGAACAAGGTGTTAAGTAAGAATAAAAAATATGTTTTATATCTAAATTATCTAACTTTTAGTTTCATTCTAATTTAGGTACAACGTTACTTGGGGTAAACAAACGCAAAAAAAACACAAGACTTGGGAAGGTGATGGATATTTAATAGTTGATGATAAAGTTGCTGTTCTTACGGTAAAATTTGTAATTAATTTATTGAGATTAAAAACAAAATAACAGTTAAAACTAATTCTATGCATAATTATTTCCATGTGAAAATTACTACCAATTCAAATTGACATAAGATTTTTTTTTTTAAGTAAATTATAATTGTTATTTTATATTTTTTATCATACTTTATCATTTTTAAGTAACACTATAAAATTTTAATTAATTTGTATCTTGAATTGATTTTTATTTTAAAGGATTTGGAAGGAAGAAAACTTGGTTCTACGAGTAACTTAAAAGATTCTGATTTAGAAGATGGTTCAATTATTTCAGTTGGTAGTAAACTAGTGCAAGTTTTAGATCTTGTAGAGAAATCAAATTCAACTCCGTCTATTAATACTATTGAGACAAAATGTCCAGTTCCTCCACGTAAAAAGTCTAAGTTAAACTTAGATATTGCCTTCTCTCCTGATGCATTAATCATGCCTGAACCAGATATTGATCATCAAGTATAATTCTTTTAGTGGATATTTATAAAAATTTATAATTTAATCATGTAATTGTTCATTTTTTGTGAATAAAGTGTCTTTTTAACAAGTATAAAAGAGAAGTTACTCCAGTTATATTAGAATCATTTTTAGCTAAACATTTGAGACCACATCAAAAAGAAGGAATAATATTTTTATATAGTTGTGTAATAGGACTCAAAAATCCTGATTATTTTGGTGCTATACTTGCTGATGAAATGGGTCTTGGTAAAACTTTTCAAACAATATCATTAATATGGTGTGTGAATATAAAGTAATAATGAACATTTGTTATTGATGGCTTTATAATTGTTGTTTTGATTTAAATCAGGATGTTACTTAAACGTGGTCCTTATGGGGAACCACTAGTTAAACGTGTTTTAATAGTAGCCCCAAGTAGCCTAGTAGGCAATTGGCAAAATGAATTTATTAGGTGGCTTGGACGTGATAGATTAAGATTATTTGTAATCGAACAGGTAAAATTTGGTATGCTTCATAACTGAAAATTTAACACTTACACTTATATTTTATAAATACAGAAAAGAAAACCATCAGAATTTTCGCAATTACCTGCACGAAATTATCCAGTATTGATAATATCATATGATATGTTAATTCGTTACATTGAAGATATTGAAAAGATATGTTTTGATTTAATGGTTTGTGATGAAGGGCATAGGCTAAAAAATAATACTATTAGGACATCTATAGCATTGAATAAACTGCATTGCAAACGAAGAGTATTGTTAACTGGAACGCCTATACAAAATGAGCTACAAGAATTTTTTGCCCTTGTAGATTTTGTAAACCCTGGAATTTTGGGAACTTATTCTAGTAATAGTATTTTATAGTATAAATGCTACATTCATTAATTAATATAAATTTTTATAGTGTTTAAAAGGGAATTTGAGGATAAAATTGTAGAATCTCAACAACCTGGATGTCATCCTCAAATAATGGCTCTTGGTAGAAAAAAAGTTATTGAACTTAATGAAGTTACTGACAAATTTATTTTAAGAAGAACATCAGATATAAACAATAAATATTTAACAACAAAATATGAATCTGTAGTATTTTGCTCCATGTCATTGTACCAAGTAATAGTTTATATTTAAATTTGTAAACATTTAACATTATTCTAAAGTTTTACCTATAATTATCTCACGTAAGGTTGAATTCAAGTGAAAATCATTAAAAATTATACAGGGTGATTTTTTTATCATGAAATATTCAATTATTTCCAATATTAGTTAGTAATTAGTAATAAAAATGACCCTTCCTTTTAATAAAATTTTTTATTACATTCCGTAATACTGGTTCAAAAATTGTTTTCGTCTAATCAATTTCTTTATTAGATCATTTATAATGTACTACTTAGTTAAAAATATAAGGTATACACAAATAATGTATTATTGTTAAATTAAGAATAACTAATAAAATACAAAAAAATTTTCATGATTGCAAGATCACTTATACAATTCTATCTTTGTTAATTTTAATATTTTATTGATAGTCAAGTTTATATGAGGAAGCTGTGTTGTATTGGGAAAATCGTATTCAAGAATATGGTATGAATAATATTTCTCATTTTAGTGTTATAACCACATTAAAAAAGATATGTAATCATCCAGAAATCGCATTAAATGATAAAGGCAGTACTGATATAACAGAGGTATGTACAATAAATCCTTAGTTATTGTAAGTGAGGCAAGTAATTACTAATTGTAAAAAAAAACAAACCATAATAGGAAACTATGAGTCAGCATTTAAAAAAAATTACTTCATCTAGTCCATCGTTAATTGAAAGTTCAGGTAAACTCATAGTCGTTGATAGCCTTCTTAAACAATTACATAAGAATGGTTCTGAAAAAACAGTTTTAGTATCTTACTACACTCAGGTCTGTTTAATTATTGATTATATTTGACTTTGCTCTATTTAATAATTAAAATATTAAAATAATTAGACCTTAGATATATTTGTGAAGTTGTGCAGTTTAAGAAATTATAAATATTTAAGACTTGATGGATCTACATTAACATCTCAAAGAACAGATATAGTGAAGCAGTTTAATAATGCTAGTTCTGATTATAGTGTGTAATATTATATTAGTATTTCATTAGAAATTTCAGTTTTTTTAATTTTAGTAATTGGTATTTTTAGCCATTTTATTATTAAGTGCAAAAGCTGGTGGTGTGGGTTTGAATCTTATTGGTGCTTCAAGATTAGTATTGTATGACTCTGACTGGAATCCTGCATCTGATCAACAAGCTATGGCACGTATTTGGCGTGATGGACAAAAGAAAAATGTTCACATTTATAGACTGCTTACTTGTGGTACTATTGAAGAAAAAATATTTCAAAGGCAGATTAGCAAAACAGGTCTTAGTGAAGCGATAACAAATCCAGATAGCCATAATAATACAAAACTGTCTTATGATCAACTTAAAGTATATACCTATATTATTTTATTATTACAATATTTAGATTACAGATTTGTGGTACTCTGGTAATACCAGAAAAGAACATCGCCGAAATAACAGAAGTTCATATTAACATATTAGTTTTTATTTATTTTTAATTATATTACATAAATTTTAAAACAAATACACACAAAAAATAAATGTTAAATCTAGTAATCCTTCAAAGGATTAGATAAGAATATCATATTGATTCAACAGAATTCAATCAGTTACTTTTATTGTTTATGCCAAAAAAGTATTTGAAGGAGGGTCTAAGTGGTTCGAATCACTATTCTCTTAAATTAAAAAAAATATGTTTATATATATATATATATACAACTCTTTTTATATGTTTACATATTTTGGATCCCTCCCAAAAAAATATACTGAATACTGACCTTGGATTATGCAAATTATAAGTTATCAGTAAAAAAAAAATCAAAATATTAAACAAACCCTAGTACTATGAGTCAATTAACTCTCTCCTAGAAGCTTTGCATTTACTATAGTAATTTTTTGGTAATTTTAACAATAAAGCTATCCTGATTATTTAAAGATACTAGATTATTGCAGAATTGAGTTCTAATAGTTCTTTATTTGGAAATTTGTCATGTATGTATTGTTACGTCGCTCTTTAGGGGTTTAGCCTAAATGCCCGTCAACAGTATTCTAAGGCAGAGTTTCTCAAAGTGTGGTCCGCGGACCCCTGGGGGTCCGCGAGCACATATCAGGGTTAGGTCTTTAAAACTGTAGGACTTTAGATGGGGGTCCGTGATTCATTTGACTTTGAGAACCTCTATTCTAAGGGACCAACGGGGGATAGCTGGCTAGGCTATATCTACCTTAGGTACTGAAGTTTCCTATTTAATTTATATTCCCTTAGAGGAACTACCAAGGGTCGCACTACAATATATATATATAACACTTTAGGTTAACGATATAAATAAATATTTATTAAGCAATTGAAATATTAAATGGATAATACAACCTGCTGGACACCTAGAGATGTTATAATCCAACAGGGAGCTGACGGCGACACACACACACACTATAATATACGGGGTAGCGAAGTTAAGTTAATTATCAGGCAAAAGTAGTGATCGCGAAGATGGTAAAATGTCAACTGTCGATAGGGATATCTTATTATGGCACATTGGCTGTGAATTGCAAAAAGTGTTTATGTGTGCAGTCCGCCCTCCTGTTAGTATTGTTGGATGGTTAAACGGTACAATGATGTTATGGGAGACAGATATGGGCACATGCAAATGTGATCGTATCAGTATATTTATGTACAGATTGATTTATTAAGAGTATTAGCCCCCATTTCTTATGAAATAATGATTTTTTCAAAAAAATGTACATTTTAAAATTATTATTTTAATGAACAATAGTAAATATCAAGTTTATTGAGAAAAAATGATTACTAAGGGTACATTTTAGGGGTAACATTCAAAAATAAAATAATAATCTGTTATTATTTTTTTACTATTAAATGGAAAATGGTCTAAAATTTTCCTGATTGTTACCCAGTTTTGTAATATTACTTTTTAAGATATATTTGAGACAATTAGTGTTTAAAAGTTTAGAAAAGGCGAGGAACAAAATACTGTTTATTGACGCCTTATTTTTACTATAACTCGTAGATAAAAATTCTTATGCTCCCCTCTCGTCTATGACTAATAATTATAATACTAAATATAAAGTAAAATAAAAAATTTTTTCTAACCAAATTTTATATTTTCCTATGCACTATGATACTAGTTTAATTTACACTATTCTTACATTTATTAACAAAATAATAATTAATCAAATTACTGGATCAATTGTTTTTATGGATTGGACATTTTTTTATTAGATCATTTTCCAATGTATAAGGTGATTGATTAACCTCATAATATATATTATATAACATAATATAATTTTTTTAGTATTATAACAAATAATTCTTAGTTTTTTAATAAAAGTTAAAAAAAATAGATATATGGTTCCATAAACATTGCTTTTTTGATGTTAGTAATGAATATTATAAACTTTTCAAAAATTGTAGGATTTATTTAATTTCCAAAAAGATACACTGAGTTTGACACATGATTTATTAGAATGTGATTGTGATGGTAATGGTCAAGTTCCAAATATTTCAATAGAAGACTATAATGATGAAAAATCTGAAGCACCATTACGTGTTAATCAATTAATGCAATGGGAACATCATTCAACTCCATTTTGCTCTGATATTTTAGAGGTAATGATATAATTATTCTGTTATAATTTAAGTTTTAGATACTAATACATTTTAAATATTTTATTAATTGAAACTTAAACTAATATAAATGTAAGTATGTGTAGTTGTAATCTAAGTGATTTAATTATTAAATATTTAAGAAATTTGTTTTGAACAGATGTATGCTATAAGTATTAACATTGGCTCTGTTAGAGTTAAAGCTTAAAATTTTAAAGAACTTGGGGTATCTATAATTAAATCTCAATTTCAATCAAATTATTAATTACCAGTAATTATATTATTTTGATTTTATTGCTTTTATGTTATTATAATATAGGCAATGAATTTATCTGGAGTTTCATCAATCATTCGTTTTCTATTTAGACACAAGTGCAACTAATGAATTTGGTCAAATCATTAAATTATTTGGATAAATGTTTTTTTTTTTTTTATTACTATTAGTTTATTATTAAATTTTAAAGTATTATAAAATACAAAAATAATTTTGGACAAGTTTATTTAAAAAAAAAAAATGTAGTATTGATTGAAAAATTACAGTTAATGTCATTTTGATATCATCTACTATTTTAGAATAAATGTAACCCAACCCTAAGAATAATTGATGTTCTTTTTAGACTGTAAGTTTAAAATATCAATTTATGGTTGGTATTTGGTTGAAAGTTAAAGTCGCTTTCAATATTGTCTTAAAAAAACATCCTTATATATTCTCCTTATCTACAAAATCAGTTAATAAATTTCTTATAAAATAAACTTTGTGATTTACTAAGCAACAGCATTGTGAAATATTTTCTTTACTAATAAATACATTTAAAGAGTTTTTTCCCCAAAAATTAACAAAATTAAATTTTTATTAATAAAATATATTTTTGGTAAGTAAAAAATCAATTGAATACCTCCCCTTAAAAAAAATGATATATTGTAGTTGTCCCAATATTAAGCTTACTTTCTTTGCTGTATAAATAGGAAAATGTAAACAAAATATTTCAAAATTTATTTTTAATAAGTTTTAACATCAGACTTAGTTATTTAAAAAATAAAACTATTGGTTTACAATAAACATTAATTTATTTTCACACTATATTTTAATATGTCAACATAATGATTAACAGTTATAGTATTTTAAAAATAATTTTTGTACAAATAATTTTATTGAAAAATATATCTTTCTAAAACAAATATAAATTCAACCATAAAAATTTATAAATTAATACTGATATTTCACAAAAAAAAAACACTTAAAATAACAATAATGATTTTATTTTACTACTTTACATTACATTTCCTATAATGACTTTAGTACAATATTTAAAATTAGGCACAGTTTTGACGGTGCCTAATTATTCGACGTGTTAATTATTTGTTAATAAACAACGATTAAAAATTTTGACACATTAGTTTTTGCAAAAAAAGATTCTATGTGGCACATATTAAACCATAGACGTTCTCACCGATGAAATATGGAGAATCGAGCTTTTCCACGGTGAAAATAATTTTATGGGATACATCTATTTTGGATGGGGAATTGAAAATTTATGTTTTATATCCTCCTAAAACCCTGAGAACGCCACTAGAGTATTACACTGTAACTATAGGTTCAGTTCACTAATTTGTGTTATACAACCTGTATTAAATATATTGATCAAATGTTGTTTAGTTTTGAAAAAACTAAAAAAATAATTATTCTGCAGTCGATTTTTTAATTATGTCAACTGAAGCATGCACAAAATAAATATATTAGAAGATGGATTAAAATTGCAATATTTCAAATATCTCGTTAATATTTTGAAAAATGTAATATTTTGTGTTTAATTAGGATAAGACCTTAAAAAAAATAATGTTACAATATTCAGAAAAAAATATATTTTCAAATTGTCTTTACTGAAAAACGAGGATCTCTTAAATAAAATCTTATTGAAGGTTCAAGAGTAATGCATATTGATAGCTTACTGTGCGTAGTTGTGACCCTCAATAGCATTTATAAAAACTGCAATCAATACAGTCTTCCCTTCATTTCCTTTATCCCTTTTCCTTGCTTTCGGATACACTGTTTTTTTTTATTAACTTTTATCTTTTCTTATAAACTTACTGGTAATATTATAATAGGTAATATCATCGAGTAGTTTGACAATGAACATAAAAGAACAATTTGGGTTTATCAATTTAGTAAATGTCAGGTGATATTGTACTTCACTTGATATTATCCTTTTTATTATTAAACTTATCTCGTATAATAGTAATTGGACGGATACTGTATAATAGGTACACATGTTCGGTAAGTTATTATATGAGAGTATTATATTATGTCGTCGTATATGGCCAAGTTAGCTCATTAATTACAAAACGCACACAGGCATACTAAACAGTCGAAGTGGTTTTTACTGAATACGTTAATAAAATCCTTTTAATATAAATCGCTAATCACAGTCAACCGTTAGGTTTTTATATTAGTCTTTTAGTTTATTTTTTTTACATAATAAAGGGTTTGAGAGAGTAATTTGTAAGAACTTATTAACGCAAATAAATCGAAGTAATTTTATATCAATACCATTAATGATTCCTATGAATCTTCTTTATTCAATTGGACACCGGAATAGTAAGCTTTGTGATGAATGAAATATGTGATCTCGTTAAATGATGATTTGCTTGGTAATAAATAAATTGTAGTTAAATACAATTGGTGAAATCCATAGTTGTAACTTGAGGCGGTGCTGGTAATGTGACATCCAATCTTGTACATTTGTTCTCTCGATCACTGCTTAATTTCTATACAAAATTGTATGATTGTAATGTTACTTTATTTATAATTAATATACCAGTCTAGCAGCGGATTGGGGGTCAAAATCGGCCCGAAGAACCATACTATATGTGGCCTTTATTATTAAAAATATTTATATGTGATGTGTTATAGATATAGGGGAGATACTTGGGCAATAAGCCGCCCATTCTCAGTTTGAAATTTAGCTCACTAAAAAATTAAAAATTAGTATGTATTGTTTTAAAAATATTTTTTAATGAGGAGAAAATTAGATTAGATCCCAAAAAATCATAACCCTAGTAAAAAAAAATCCAATTGCCTGGGATTAGGGTTTAAAATATGTTAGCTGATGGTACAAAGTTTGTCAACTAATCTATCAGCAGGACGTACTATAATTTCTATGAATAGTTAGATTTGATCGGGTTGGGTCTCAAAATTAATTAAGTTCCGTTCAAAGTTCTGAAATAGAGGAATTGTGTGCACAAGGTTATGATGCACACCTCAATATTTCATAAATTAGTGAATTATAGGCTTTGTTTATAAGATACAAATATATTCATCTGGTCGAGTTTCACATGTATATAAATTTTGTTAACAATTTTATCATTATTTCATTTTTAACGACCAATAAAGTAAAAACTGGAGTGAGTGATATAAAAATTCAAGTTTTTCAAAAACCTCTATTACGAAAACTTTTAAACTAAAATTTATGATATTCACATATATTTATAGATTAAGTTATTATCTACAATTTAAATAAATAATTGACTAGCAGTGATTTAGAGGGGCACAGGATCACGCCCCCCCATTGACTGAGTCATGTAAATATTTTATCAAGCAATGTAACAATGTTTACTATTATTAGAAAAAGTTATTTTTTGGTTATCGATAATAACAAAGGTTTTTGTTATGTTAGTCGATATAGTTGTCTCGTGGAACAAAATTTGATACCCGCACAGTTGTCCCGTTAATGTTATTACCTATTTTTGAAATGTTAATTACGTATTTTATTAATAAAAATGAATTCAAAACAAAAAATAGATTTTTTTGAAAAAAAAAATCTAAAATATGTGTTAACAAAAAGTATGAGCAAAAAAAAGTCTTTTTATGGTACCTTATTCATGAACATTTTTTGTACCCCTCCCATTATAAATTTCTAAATACGCCACTGTTGAATAGTATACTGTAAAATTTATAACACAATTTATAAAGAAGATTTATTTGAAAATTTGTGATGGTTTTAAGTTAAAAAGATTTCTTTGAAAAAAAATATTTTATCTAAGAATCTTCAAGTTTTACAGATGATTGCCATGAAGTTAGTAATTAAATAAATTAAATTTTAGAAACTGAATGAATACGGGAAAATTCCCGGTGACCCAGTCCTCTATTGTATCTATAAAGTAAAAAGGCCGTTAAAAAAAAATATTATCAAATATCTTTCAATTAATTTGCATTTATTCTAAATTTGACAAAATTAAAATATTCTACTTGTTACCAGAAAGTGTGGAAGGTTTTAATAATGCTGATCGTTTTAATAATTTGTACATGATCTTTATTGTTGATATACTGTACTTACATTTTTTGTGGGAGAAGAAGGGACCGGTACGTACTTAACCAAAACGGGCGCACGGAGACACCCAAAACATTGTTTAAACACTGGACAAAACGATCCGATCACAAACAACATGACAACTATCCCACCACTGAAAGAATAAATTTAACAATATATGTATAAAAACGATCAAGCTAATTTATTTTTATAAAATAATAATAAGGATTTACATACAAAAAGAATCCTCGAGTTTAGAGGTGGTGTGCTAAAAAACGATGTGTCTCTACTAATTTTTTTTTATCTTTTGCGTGCCTCTATTATTTTATCATACTTGATAAATGAAGGTGCAAATTGGACATCTTCCAATAACACATTTTTTACAATTACATAAATGTATTTTTTCGTTTTTGTATTTATATTTCTATTATCAGTTAATAAAAGAACTTGCGCTTTTATTTCTCAATAAAATATTATTTTTACGAGAATGTTTTTCCTTTATGACTTAGTAAAACCTTATTATTTAATTTTTCTCATTTAAGAACTATCAAAAAAAATGTTCAGTTTTTTTGCTGATAACCAGTGAAATTTAAACATAATTTTTTTATCGAGAGTGGAAAATCGACGCTTATTTTTAGAATATACTAAAGTTCAACCTAGTTTTCTGTTGACAATTGGTTTAAATTATGAGACTTAATAGTGTTTATTATTTGAACCTAAATATTTCTTACCATAAGTACCAAAGGCTGTAGACGTTGTCGCAACATTTGTCATCGCCACAACAGTATTGCTCGTTAGAACACAGACCTGCCTTGCATATGGATGCTGTGGTGCCCGTGGTTTGCAGTAACAGTATAGCCGTTAATGACTGTACTGTGGTCAATCCAATGTATTCCTTTGACATTTTGCACGCGTATGCAGCAGTTGCAGCTGTGAACACGACTGACGGCCCTTCGGCCTTCGTACGCGTATCTCGGCAGCAGCGGTGTCACTCAGCTGTAGCGCACAACCCTCTCGACCAGGCTATTTATGGAGGGTTGTGGTGGTGGTGGTGTTCACGGTAGGGAACCACACGAATCGATACGGCCCCACTATGTTTCACCGCTGCTTCAGTACTATGTGCTATTGTAATCTTTATTATTAACATTTTTTCATTATCAAGATAATTGTAATATACATTTTAATGAATGAAAAATAAATTGTTGATTTTTGTGTAAAGAACATCCCTTACAGTCGTACAACAAATCAATAAATAATAACTCCATCAAAATAACCCCTATGATATTTTGATGTAATGCTTGTCAGAGGTCTAAATCAACCAAGATGAAAATATTTATGTTGTGATGATACAGTTCACACTTCAATTAGGTGGACTACTAAATATCACTGTTACATATATTTTTCCACCCATCACAGTAGTAAAAAATATTTGGAGGCTATTGATAATTTTCCCGTCTACCTATTAAATAGTTTTGTGTATATTTTATAATTTTCATAATTAGTGGAGGCACTAATTTTATTTTCGGTGAGGCATAATTCTCAAAGCCCACCTCTAATTTGCAGACATGTAAAAGTCCTTAGATCACCAAAAAGGTATATATCAATGTGTCCAGTCTAATAAAAATATTTAGTTTTGCCGATGGTTTTTATTAATTTAACACTTAACAAATAAAAATAATTATTAGTCTTTCAAGAAATTTTTTTTTTTTTGAAAATGTTTTAATATTTAGTATTTTTTTTAATTGGCGGTGGCTCCCGATTGTTAGGAAGGGTGTATCCACTTTTTAGTCAAAGTTTCAATCCACACGATTGTCCTGGTAATTGTCGTGATGTCAATTGTAACTAATTTATTTTTATGTCTTCTCTGTTATTTTAGCGTTCTATTATAAGTAGTTCGTGTTATTCGACAATAAAATCATTCGATTTAGCTTAATATTAGTAATTTAAATTTAATTTCTAAGAATTAAGTATGACGTCAGTCCTTGTACGTTTCGAGATCGATTCTCGTATATTCTCAAAACTTGTTGTACCATTTCTATTAATAGTTCTATAAAAGTAAAAACTGCAATAAAAGATAATAGTCGAGCTATAATAATACTATGTATTGAAAACTATATAATTAAATAACACTATACGTATTATATTATAAGACATAATATATTAACATAATATTATGTAAGAACAGATTTAATCTATGGTTATTAAGATAAGGTAATGGTTTTTATATTATTTTTAAATTGTAATAAAATACTATCATATACAGAGTGTATATAGAATGATTTATTTATCATTTTTCTCTGAAATCCATTAAAATAATAATAATGTGAAAATATTTAATTGATTTATAGAGTAATATTTATTTCACGATTTGTTTATGGTTTAATATTTTTTAAATGTATCCCTAATCCCTTATACAGGTGGGTATAAACATTTTTTTTAAATTGAAATATATCCTGAAGTGGGGTATAAGTAAATAAATAGGGTAATTGTATATTAATTTTTTCTCTTGGAATACTTAGCAGGTTTTGTTTTAGATTTGTTTTTATTATTTTGCTTCATATTTATTGATATCATTTTATATTTAGTAGTTTAAAAAATATGTTAAAATTACTCTATCGTTAAAAAACAGCACTTCCAAAACAAATTTTCTGCATTTAAAAGGTCTATAATTTTTTAAAAAACACTAATTATAATGACATTTTTATAGAGTATACACTTTCTTTTGATGTGCTTTTAAAAATTCCAATAAAAAATCAAAATACAGAAAGGATTTGAATGAGATCTTATACATTAAAAAAAATTTAGTTCAACTCGATTTTTGAATATGTTCTGGAATGTCTGACATTTTCAACTTTCATCAATCTAAAAATTTTTAGAATATAAAAAATAATTTGCCCGACGATTGTTCTTAATCGACTGTTAAAGTAAAAATAATCACAATTAAAAAAAAAATCGTTTATATTGTCATTTGTAGTTGTCAAATGTATGTAGAAAAATACAGTGATAAGAAATAGGTTTCATATATTTAATGTTTTTGATGGATAGTAATTGATTATTTTGCAAATGAGTATAGACTAAATGATTACCGCATATTTGAAACAGTAATAGTAAAATTACAATAATACATATTATTGTGATATTTAACAAATACGCATTGAATGATTTTTAATGATAGTGATGTTAAAAACTGACAAATATCATATATACTAGTCTCAACTATGTCGCGATTTGACCATGCTAGGTTTTTTATGTATATATTTTTAAACATTAAACACATCATAACTTTCAATATTCACTTCAACTTTTTTTATGTGTCCTTAAAATTTTAATAAATTATTGACAGTAATTATTTTTACATTTATTACTGTACATCTCTCTTCCTATTAATTTTATGCAAACTTCTGCAAAATGTTCATTTCTATTATAAACAAAAAGCGTTCATTGGATAAACATGCATATTTCAACTTGATACTATATAAATATATTAGGTAAATTCACACATTTTGTTTAGCTCGACCTTTGTTGAATTTATACACCAATATTAATTCTTTAAAACTCAGAAAGTTTGTTATATATTTTGCAAATAATTGGTTAACTTACTAATGCTAATTGTTGCCATAGTTATCAATTAAGCTTATATTGTCGAGAAACACTTAATTATTTAGTTAGTTAGTTCTTTACGACGCTAGACAAAAGAAAAATCCAAAACGATAAAACCTCAGGGTATTTAATGATCATGTCATAAATTATTTAATAAGGCCAATGCGTTTAATATCTATATGACCATTCAATTATTTTACCTTTAAAAATGAAATATGTGTCACACTATTCATGATTTTCTACTGTAAATAATATTTAGACTGTAAGGCTAAAAACACTTTTTTAATATCATAAAAAATATTTCTGGCAATTACTGTTTTTGTGAGTAATTCAATGTTATCACCTTGAAAGTGTATAAAATGATAGCCGTACTTAACAAGTAGAAAAAAACAATAGAAGTTTAATAAGTCACGCACATTTTTTAATTTTAAATGGTTTTCAAAGATAAATGAAAAAAATCATGGTAATATGTGAAAAATCTAATTAATATTGAATATAATGACTTTTATTTTGTATAAATCCTAATAAATATTTTTAATTTATATAGTTTGATTAATGATATGGTAAGTCGTTTATAATATATATGTATATATTTTTCTATATGTATATATCTTTCTATCACAAGAATAATAAAAAAAATATATTTATATATGCAAAGAAACATAGCTAAAAATGATAACATCTAAGTTGATAAAGCTCCTATTGATTATTAATTAATAATATAATAAATGTAACACTAACATAACAGAAAACGTAAGTTTTAAAGATACTATTGACAAGTTTTCTCAAAAAAAGTAAAAAAAAATGTTTGTTAATACTTAATTATAAATTGTAATGTATTGGTATATAAGTATTATTAAAATAAATAGATATAATTTGAAGTCCTTTTTTTGTTTATTACAATAATTTAACGAGCATTTAGTTTTTGTGTTACAAAACCTCAGATATAAAAATTAATATTTATAGATATAATACATATCCAACGGTTTAAGATATTTATATATATAAATCTTATTATATAGTAAAATATTAAAAAATTAGCTATTGCTATAAAAATTACTTAGCGATGTCTGATTTTCCTTGTTTTTTAATGAAAAAGCTCAGCAAATTATTCTGGAAAAATGATTTACTTAGATGAGAAAATTTTTTGTAGCATTCACTGAGCGTTTAAAAATTTGGCTAAAGTGCTCATTTACATCAGCGTTTTTTCATTTAAAACGGTGGAAATTTTTACAAGACTTGTCCAGAGACATTCTAAAGGTGCCAATTAGTATCTTATATTTCCTTGATTGGTATCATCCTATTATATAAAAAATTTCTAACGTTTTAAGTTCTGAAAAAATGAAAAAGTGTATTATTTCAAATAAATATTTTATGGGCTCATAACTTCTATTCTTTAATAATCCAAATAGTTAATTTCTAGTTAAAACATTAGTTTTGTAGATAGCACCCGTTAAAAGTAGTATGCTTATTATATATAATCTAAGCGTTTTGTGCATTTAAATGAAAAATAATGATTTTGTGATACAAATGTATAATTTGTTATAGTTATATTAAATTAATGTTACTTCTTATAAAATACTTATAATACTTAATTGATTTTTTTTATTTTGGTACATAGAACGTTTGACACTTACTCTTCAAATCAAGAAAATATATTTATTTGACGTTCAAAATCTTTATTTAATTTATTTAATCTAATAAAATTAACATTTTATCATACAAATTATAATACCATTACTCTATACATGTTTTACACTATTTATCAAGATCCGGCACTTAGAAGTATTATTAATAATTTTTTAGGTATAATAAAATTACTAATATAATGATTAAATCTAACCAATATAGATTTATAATATACATATTTTCATAATTTTTACTGATTTTTTTTTTTTTATTATAATGTTTTATTTGTAATGTTATCTGTCTTCCAAAAAAAATAATTTTGGCAGATAGAACGGTTCACATTTTTACTCTTAAAATAAAGAAAAATTTTTCATGTTATATCATTAGAACCATGTAATCAATTTTGTATGCATACTATAATCTTTTCTTTCGGACTAATTATTCTGTGACCTCGAGAATTTCAAGTATCCTTCTATCTAGTGCTGGTATTAGAAATACATAGAAGTATGGGAAATAAGGAGGTTATATCATCCTCTTATGCAGGGTCGCATTTAGGAATTTTGCCGCCCGGTGCTCTTAATTTTGCCGCCCCCCAAAAAGTGTTGGATTGGGTTTTTTAGTTGGCGTATTTAATAATTCCGAATATTCAATTAATTGATTTTCATTTGCCATGGTTTCAAAAGTACTATGTAGAGGATGTTCACTAAAAAATTATAAAATTGTTTATTTATAAAAAACTGAATTAACGCAGATGAGATAACATATGCTTCAAGCATTCTTTTTGATTTGTGTACGCCTTACCTTGGTGCAATAGAAGACGTATTTATTAATTGTTTTTCCGAATTTTCAATTATTTGATTTTCATTTGCTAGGGCTTCAAGAGGACTCTGAAGATTAGGCTCACTAAACAAAATATAAAATTTTTCATTTATATAAAACTGAAATAACGTACAAAAGTTAACATTTGATTTTTAAATTACTTTTTATCACTAGACTCATTTGAAATCTGTTCAGCTGTAGTCTCTATTTTACTTGGCGAATTGGAGATTGATGGTCGTTGATTGCCAAAAAATGAAGTTAATTTTGCGGTTTGAGAAATGACTTTTTGTTCTTTTTCTAATTTTAATTTAGCAACTTTTTTATAAGCACTTCCACTTAAACGTTTTCTGCCATCACTCATTTTAATACGTTAATAAATAATAAAATATACAAATAAAAAAAAACACCTCAACACATTAAGTCGGTCACTTGTAGTCGAGTACTAAACACAATGAGCTGTCTGTACACAACACATTATTAGTGTGACATTATTAGATAGTAATTTTGTGAAAAATGAGACAAATTATTGTGTTTTAACTTTCTTAGTATTCCAATAATAATCAACTATCAACGGCCGACGACATCCACAAAACCAGTTTAAGGGAGAAAATATCAATACTTTGTTAAAATTAGATAAAAACATGAATCAAATAAATTGCCGCCTACTTTATTTATAGTGCTGTTCATTATAAAAATACTATGTATAATCAATACTATTATCTAACTACTAACTGTAGTCTATGTTGTTATACAGCTTTGATATATCTTCTTTTACATTTATATCTTTGTACACGTTTTAAGTTAGAAAATAATAAAGTAATATTTTTTTTAGAAATAGATATTTTTGTTTCATAAAAATAAATTGTTCTGTTTGAAAAAATTTTAAATTAAATAAAAATAATTAATTTTTAAAAATTGTATACCTATTAAGATTTTTGCCGCCCGGGGCAAATGCCCCCAATGCCCCCCCCCTAAATGCGGGCCTGCTCTTATGTATGTTGAAAGTGTAGTAAATATAAGTAAAGATAAAGTTCAAGATAAAATATTTGATAAGTGTGATGATTTTATTTGTTAAAAATATCTGTTAAATATTACAATTGATTTTAAAATTATCCAAAATTAGATTAGAGATAACAGACAATTATATATAATAAAAATAAAATTATTGTATTAAAGGAGAACCAATTATTTACTGTAATTAAAATTTAGTATTGAATTTAAAAGACAATAATAGTAACAATATTAAAATTGTCTTCTATGAAGTATCAGAATTGCTGATTTTTTTATGAGGATAGGTTATCTATAGTAAATTGCAGGGTTATCAAGATCATGTTAATAAAAGATCTGTGTAAGTAAACAGTCTAAGTCCCTCAAGTCCAATGTAAATTTTTTAATTTTTGGTATTTTAAGCAATGTTTTAAACAAAGAATGTTACAATGTAACAATTTTGGCAGATTGCACTTTAACTATTATTTAATTAATATAATTTAGTACATAAATTCAGTCATAAATAAACCAGTGACAATAGGCGAGGACATGATTGGAGAGGTGGAAAGTTTTAAGTATTTAGGATAAGTTGTGCAAAAGAGCGGTGGTATTGACGAGGATGTAAAACACAGGATTAAGTGTGGATGGTTGAAGTGGAGAGAAGCGTCTGGTGTCTTATGCGATAAAAGAATTCCAATGAGGCTGAAAGGTAAATTCTACAAGACTGTAGTGAGACCAGCTATGATGTATGGTTCAGAGTGTTGAGCGGTTGATAAGAAAGTAGAGCAGAGAATAAGTGTAGCAGAGATGAGAATGCTTAGATGGATGAGTTGAGTGACTATAGAAGATAAGATAAGAAATGAGCATATAAGAGGGAGTATAAGTGTAGCGTCAATTGTGGATAAGATAAGAGAAAATAGACTTAGATGATTTGGTCATGTTATGAGGAGAGAAGAATCGGAAGCCGCAAGAACAGTTGTAAAAATTAATGTTGAAGGAAGAAGAGGTAGAGGAAGACCAAAAAATAGACGGATAGATGTTATTGAATATAGGAGCTTTCTTATAATTTGGCCGCCGAGTTTTATTCTTTCATACGATATATTTACTGTACAAAACATCTGTGATACTTTAAGTTTGTTCAGCTTATTTAAATTTGTATATAAAAATAATATGACTTAATAACTGGCTCGATTTATTACAGTTTTAATTTTCTTAAATATCTGTCTATCGAATTAAAAATAATCAATTCATTTGTCACCAATTTGTTGTGTAGGTTTCAATTTAAAGTATAAGTATTTTTAGAGTATAAGTGATTGGGTATGACTATTATTATCATAAGACATATTTCGGCTGCACTCTTCCATCTGGCTAGGTATAAAAATGTTAATAAATTTTAAAGTACTGGTTCAAAAGTTGTCATCTACCAGTTATTTTCTTAATTAGATAATTTTCTATTTAAAAGATAATTAAACAAGTTTGTTTCCAATAAAAAAAATTAAGTTGATACTTGACGCGGTCGCAGTGACAATATCATACCTTTATAAGAGATAATGAATTGACCTAAAAAGTATTTAAATATTTATAAATCGAGAAATAAATACTACTGTACAAAGTCAAAACAGAAATATTTAAGGGGGAGGGTTTCAACCATTATTATAAAACTTCAATTATGGAATCAAATTAAATTAAAAATATTGGGATGGTAATTTATGTTTTATACCCACTTTATTCTTATAATTTATCAAAGCCTAAAGAAGACAGAAAGCTGCTTAAAATAAGTTATTTAAACTTTTTTTAAATATTAGATCTTATTTTGATAAGTTTTAGATATTTCCACAAAATATAGCAATTATTTGCAAAAAAAAAAAAAAAAATCATTTAACTGTATGGTACCTTTTAAATTAATAATATTGATGTGAATAAAAATAAAAAAACATCCTAAGTTATAGGTATTTTATAACATCAATTTAATAACACTAATTAATAATATATAGTAATATTAAAATTGAAAAATTATAAAAATAATCACTTTTATGAAAATTAAATCATTTTAGAGTAATATGAGGTAAAAATTGAAAATTTAATTAAACAAATTTCAATAATTTATATTTTTATGTTACATTTATATTTAATAATATTTCTATAATTTTTGTACTTCCCCAATTAGGATTTTATTGATTTTATTTATAGTGTAAAAATAGACACGTATGCGTTAAAATTTAAATTAAATTATGTTTAATACAATATTAGATGGCGTTCTATGATGGCATTGGTCTATGTCGGCAGTCACGTGTGACTTGCTCGCCACCAGCAGTCGGTGCGCTTAGCAGCTGTTTAATGGTTGTGCGAGGCTGTTGTTCGTTTAGCAAAAATAATATTGTGTTCGTTTAGTAAATTTATTTAACGAATCGGATTTTTATTGTTTTTACATTAGTCGATTTTTAAGTGATATTTCTAAGATTTCCCTAAAACAGGACATAATTTGTCAATCTTATAACGGAAACCAGATCATAGGAAAAAAGTAAGTACTTTAATTGTACAAGTTGAAAATCTTTTTAAAAGAACATAAAAAATGTTAAGTTTTCTGCTGGTTATTTAAATAAAAATATGGTTGCGTGTTAAATGTTAAGATCGGCCCTTTTTTGGGGCCTAGAACAAAATTATTTATTTTTGTGAAAAGATATACTAAAAATAAAAAATGACAGTTGAAAAATAGAAATAAAGTGTATAAATTCGCTTAGGCCTAGGTAAATGCACAAGTTGACTTACCCAAGCCGATGTTGTTAAATATGAGGTTCTCCGTAACATCGATAAATTAATAAATGACACTAAACACCTGTAATAAATAAAAAGAGATACGAGGAGTAGAATGTAACATTTTTTTATACATTTTTTCTATTATAAACTGGTTTAAATTATATTATACTCAGATCTAGGCAATGTATTGGATAAATAAAATTAATAGCAAGAAATGTTTTTTTATTAAAAATGTTGTTAAAATCAAATTAATACCCAGTTAAAAGCTTTATTGTTTTCAAATATTAAAAAAGAGTTATAGATTATTTCATTGGATGATGTATTAACTATTTTTTTGTTTTGAGACCATTTCTGTTTTGAGCACTACCTTACTATAATAGTTAATATAAGTATTATATTTACTATCATAGTAAATTGTTACATTTTATATTATAAGATAATTATCAGAAGGGCATTTGTATCTTTAAAAGTACTTTGAAATGGTTTTCATATAACTAATTCTGTTTTATAAAAACAAAGCATTATTTGTATTAAACTTCACTCTCAAACTCAAAGGCCTTTCGAAAATCGTTACATGACGATTTTATTTTCAAATGCAAAGTGTACATAAAATTATTCAGTGGTTGATGACAATCGGCACACTCCGAGCGCATCTGCTGTATGGCACAGTGCATATGCATCAACACCTGCGGCACACGTCTCTAAGCTGTCACGGTCGTGCTGAGCGCTCTTCTGGCCGTCTTATGCTTCCGGTAAAACCTTAAGACCAGTTATGACCCCACAGTTTAGGGTTTTCGGTTTTGGGTTCGCATTGTTTGCACATAGGTCTTCTTACCGTTACGGTCGGTTTGAAAGACTGTTGTAGCTAAGGTGTGGTTATTATTACACACGTTATCTTATAATGAAACACATAACTTGAACAAATAAAAGAAGAAAAACAATAGACTAAGGTATTACCGTGTGTTCTATTGTAGGAATAGTCAACATCTCGATGTACGAATAAAAAGAATAATTATAAATAAATATGTAAATTTAATTTTTACTTTTAGCGTTTCATAATTTTATTTTATTTCATCATTCGTGAACAACTCGACGATTTTTTCTTGTAACTTCGATACAAAATTCATGAGGATATGTCAGTAGTATTCTTAAAAAAATATGTCTGTGGTATTGAACTTCCTAATTTTAGTAATGTGTTAACTCCGTTTACAATTATTTATATTATAACTCAAATCATAAAAAGTTACAGTGAACAGAGGAATGCGAGTTTAAACAGGTATGCAAATCAATGATAAATAAAATCATAGTTATAGCATACAGTTTTTTTATAATTTAAACTTATAAATATATTTTACTATCTTTTGCTGTTTCTATTGAGTAATTGACTTAGAATTGTTATGAATTGCGCAAGGATTTAATTTCATCAAATATCAAGATTTTTTCGTTTTTCCATAAGTTTATTGGCATTAAACGGTATATGTAATTTTAATAGCGATTTTCTACAAATTTGTAATATTTTATGCAATTCACAAATAAGTTTAACTTGAATATTGTCGATATTTAAATTTTAAGCAGTCTGACAGTGTTGAAGTGATAAATTTATGGGATATGTTAAATAATTTAGCATTAAAATTAATTTAATTATAGGACCACTTTAGGAACTACTTCAAAAATACTTTCAAGTAATAAGTCGAATCGTGTTATTTAAAGAAATTTAGAATATTTAAACCTTATTATTTGAATATTTTTTAATGGTTTGTATTTTTCAAAAATATTTACATATACATATAATGTACTGATTTTAATTAGATTTAATTTTATGAACAATAGTAAATATCAAGTATATCGATAAAAAATGATTTCTAAGAGTAGATTTTAGGGGTAACTTTCGAAAATTAAATAGTAATCTGTCATTAATTTCCTACTATTAAATGGAAAAATATATTTATATGTACACAACTATTAAAAAGGGGGATAATAGTATACTTAATAAATCACACTGTATACAAACATACACATACATATATATACAATGTATCAAATAATTTATTGAAAAATAACCTTTAGTCTTATTGTTATTATTAAATGATTTTAATTATAAGTTCTTCATTACTGATAAAAAATGGGTTCGACCTGGCTTAATGGGTAAAAACGTATGTTTCGGTGCACGGAATCTCGGGTTCGATCCCCAGAGTGCCAATAATTTTTAACTGATTTTCTGGTGATGTTTGTCACTGGTGCAAGCCGGCCAAAATGCCCGTCCTGTCCATCACTGGCTTAGCCAAAAACCATCTTTGACTCCCTAACATGTGAAAGTTAGCCACCACCATCTGTAGCATGTTGAATTTGGGAAATAAAAGGATATAACACTGATCGTTTTCATTCTGATAATATAATAATAGTTAAGAAATATAATAAATAATAGTTTTCTGACTAAATAATTATCAAGTTACAATGGACATTTACACTTTTTCACACGTTTTTATTTAAAATAAACTCAAAAATTTGTAAAGATATATTTCAAGCGGAATGCTTAATTCATACTAAACAAATAAAGAAAATCAAGGTTACCACACCTAATGAATATTTTTCGAGTTTTATTTATATTTTTATTTTATAACAGCTAAACAATAAAATTGCAAATTTATAATTTTAAGTGAACTAATAAAAATTTCTTGTCTTCTTGTTCTAATAAAATACAATTTGATTTAATTTTAAACTACCGTATTAAGATAAAAAATGATATTTAATGTTAATAATATACTTAAAAAATTAGTATTAATTATAGTTATTACTGTATATAAAACAATATCGAATGTAATTTTTTGTATAAAAAAAGCGTTTTTTGTTTTCTTTAATAGTGTAATCAATAAATGAAGATTTAAACATTGACTCATTTATAAGATATTTATTTGACTTCTGTTTCGTTTAAGAAACGAATTGTTTGAACATAAGAAAAAACTTTTTGATGGACGACCTAGCGACGAAAGTACAGTGACGCATTCCGTTAACGAATATCCATTGAAATAGACTCTGAAAAAAAATTATGGCAGTGTAATTTGTATTTATTATGGCACTCGTGATAAATTAAGTGTGTATTGAAGTCGGACGAGGTTTGGACGCGGCAAAGAGGAAACTTGTTCGTTTGAAAATCGCTTAATTTTTATTATTGTTATTATTTTGACCTTCGCGTTCGTAAAGAACATTTAATACAGACATATTATTTTGCAACCTCTCTGTGAACTCAAGTGTAAGAAGAAATTGTTGTAAATATCAAAAAAATAATGTTTTTTGGTGCCCGGGTCGTATTTGAAATATTTAATTTTTTTAATAATTGTACTTTTGGTATTGTCGTTGATTTGAATATTTGGATAAGATTCGTCGTGTACTCAGTTCGTAAATATTTGATTTGGGTATGGTATTAAATCATTGTTTTCTAACAGAGGCCGATGTATTCAATTTGCTTACACAATTAACCATTGCATTTTTCTATTAAAAGTACCTAATTACTTTTGTTCAATTTTATTCGTAATTGGAACTTGCCCAGCATATCGCTTTAGCGTTGGCCCTGGTACATTTTGCGGTCGAGTGAACAAAAATGTTTAAATTACATTTGTTATTATGCATTTTCATTGAAATTGACCGCAGCGCATATGCAATTTTTTCACTATTAACAAAAGAGTATAGCTGTACACGACAGCGTATTATATTTGAAAACAGTATCATCATTGCACATTGTTTACCGAGAGTTTGTTTTTTCAAAGTGACTGAGCTCTTGATTTTTAATTTTAATCACATTTCTTGATTCAAAAATAATATTATTTTTGAGTCATAGAGTTTATTTGTGAGTATAAAAATTTTATTGGACTCTGCAAACCGATATTATAGTTTAAGTATTAATGTATAAATTTAGAAATCTTTATCTTGTTTTAATTTTTTCTGACTTGTACTGCAATATTAATGTATTTATCAGTTCAATAATTAATCTAGTATCTATTACGTAGGATTTTGCCAATTAGAATAGAACTTAAAAAATAGTACCTAGTTTTTACGTGTATTATAGTCAAACGCTTTGTATTGAAAAACATCTAATTCGCTCCATTTAATTGCACACTAAAATAATATCTAAGCGAAACCTGTTATTTTAGTCCCGTGTTATTATTATAAACGGCTGGCATTGTTGATTGTGAGAAGTGGTTAGATTTACATGCAATTTATTTATATTTGTATACATTTTGAACACGTCTGTATTATTACAATTAATTATTAAATGTTTTCGCACAATTTGCGTTTTTGGATGATGACTACTTGTGTAATGTTTTCCTGCGGCCAAATGCACAACGGGCTATTATACTATTATTTTATCTGTTTATTTTTCCTTTCAAATACATTGTTTTCCCATTCACTGAGGATGCTTTACTGCATGTTCTATTGTTATACATATAAATCGCTTTCACCACTATTCCGTTAATTTCCGATTTACCTTGACACGACTTCTCTTCACTAGGTTAACTGCGCCAACTTGCTGTTCAGAAGTGAGGAAGTTAAGGAGAGTGTATTACATTAAGCCCAAAATTCCTTGTAATTCATCGTTATTCGTATTACAATTCTGACACATATATCATATTTATGTCTGGTTCGTTACGTTTGGTATTGCGGCCATAAAAATGCTTGTAATTATTATTACTTTTTTAGCCTTATTGGTATAGCTCAAACGTAAACACTTATTTTTTTCTCGGGCTTATGAATTTTCTTTATGCGGTTGACGGTCATTGGCCGGCTCAATACCATTCGGATCATAGTGTATTAATTAATCACCTTTATTATTGTTACAGAGATGGAAGTGAGATGAGTGTAGGGGCCGAGCCTGGCGGGTGTTGGGACAGTTGCGTGCGGTTGATGTGCCATAGTCAAACGACGCAACCATCAGCTCAGCGACAAGCTTATCCTGTCCGCCACCTCTACTCAAATGGCATCAAAAACGGTTTGAACGGACATATAAAAGGTAAATTTAGTTCTAAGATGATTTTTTTTCTTAAGGAAGATGATTTATTGTATTTGAAAGAGAAAATGACAAATTTCTTCATCCTTTTTTTGATAAATGTTATTTATACAATTGGTAATAAATTCATAGCTATTGGCATAAAGTTTTCTGCATCTAACAAAAAAAATGTATTTATTGCAAAAATTGTTATCTACAATACATATTTTGAATAATAATTATATATAAATAAATAGTCTAATAAATTTTAGTCTTATAAAATAGTCTAATGTACTAGTCTTATGGCTATACAAATAAATAAGTAATACTTTTTCTGTGGTATATTTTATTTGAGTAAGCATCGCGTACTATTTGTTAAAAAAAAATAATTTGAAGTATTTATTATTAGTTTACGGACCATCAAAGAGTTGTGAGTAAAGCGTAGGATAAAAAGAAGAAAAACGTTTTTGGATATAGGTTATATTTTAATGTACAAAACTGTGTACTAAATTATCTTTGGCTACTGCCCCGACTTCAAATTATAATTAATCAGGTAATTAGCAAATTTTCAATGCCCATTCGGATTTTATAATCGTGTTAACTTACAATCACGTTTTCTCATCAGTGTTTACATCAATTTAAGATGAATAATTCTCCTACAATTTCAAAATTATTCTCATATTATGTTTTTTTTTAGTGAATCAATGTACTATATGATATATTAAAGGTTATATAGATACATGGAATCATTAAAATGACTGCTGAAAAATAAAGTAACCTAATAATGCATTGTCTACCTATTGATATTTTGTTATCAAAATTGCACAAAGTTATATCGCTATTGAAAACTTATTATTAACAGTTTTCAAGATGTTTACGTAGGCGTAAATGAATTATTACCAGTGTTATTTCCGGTGTTGCTTCCGTCTTTCAAAGATGAGCATTCGAGCACGTTTTTTCTTAATATAGAAAAATAGTTTGTGTTGTACACTTTTATTTCTAAAAATAATTACCATCCCGAATAATTAATTACTCTTTCAAACAAAGTGAAGTCGTGTACATATCATACGGTAAACATATTTTTAAAGATTTGGTAGTCCGTAATTAACAGAATGAGTTGAGTATTATATATTCTTAATAATTTCCTTAGATCTATATACGTAATTAATTATACCGATTATAATATGAGTACAAGAAAACCTATAAAATTAACAACTTGCTCTAATTAATTGGTTATTAATGATTTTTTTTATTTTTTGCATATCAAACCGTTCTATAATGTCCGTTGTAATGTAATTAGTATGCATAATGATCACAGGGGCAATTAAATAGTAGGCTAAAGGAGCTTAGCCCCCACTCAAATTAAAATATTATATTTATTGTTATTTAAAAATATTTTTAGGGCGAGGAAAAAATTAATTTAGCACACCAATAGTTTTATTCTAATTTCGACCATAGTAATAACCGATACGATTAAGTAATCAATTCACATAAAATTCATAAACTAGATGTATCAGTTCAGTTAGAAAAATATTTTAATATCGTACCTTTACTCTTAAAAAATATTATACGTAAGTATAATCTTTGATTAGTCAGAGAAGTCTGAGGAATTTTGATTTAATAAAATATAATATGTTTTTTTATCAAAAAATATTTGACGTTGATTTTATACTCTTACAAGAAACAATTTTATTAAATACTTTTATACAGATTTAAAAATTACTTACCGGTCAGCATTTAATTAAATAACCTAATGATTTATCTTGATTTATCGGTTGCATCTTCAAAGGTAAATAATGGTATTTTTTACTGTAGATGTATTTTATAATTGATTTTTCGTAGTTTATATCAAAAAATATTATCTAATTATATTAGTTTAGTTTCATGATGACTTATATAGTATTTTTTCTAATAATAAATGAAATCTTAAGTAAATCGCATAAAACAAAATATATAAATAGAATGTGGGAAGGAACGCTTATGTGTTCATGTACAGAATAGATTATATCTAAATTGAAATCAATACACTTTGACGTTATTAATTATTATATTAAATTGTGTTCTGTTTGAATTGACGTGGTATGGTCGACCTAGACCACACGCATTTGTCGATATTCATTATATTTAATCTTATTAATAGTATTAGTAGTATAACTATTGGTCAGATTTTTCTTAAATGCATATCTCAGAAAATATGTGAGAAACCTTTCAAACGAATTAGGTACAGAGATACTTGTTATTTGGTGTCTGTCACCTACAATAGTTACAATATTGTATCTATTATACTATATTTATGGATATATACGTATTTTTTTTTTTTTTTTTTAAG